CCAATGAGATGCGTTCATGGCTTGAATCTGTGTTTCCCAGCAGCGACAAAGTGAACGAAAGGGCTGAAGGGATGAGCATTTAACGAGGTGTTGCATCAAAGAGGTCGATGGGTAGCCGTCTGCTCGCGATATCTCCTTATGCGATTACTCTCCTGACGTCAGTCCCTTTGTCAGCATCACCGTCACCTCACGACGCTTACACGTTTTCTCCTTCTACAAAAAGTGTCATGGAATGAGCGGATCACATATGATAAGATCATGATCGACTCGCCTCTGAGACGAGTCCCCAGGTAGGCCGGCTCACACTTCACTCTCGCGCCATAGGCTGACATTCGTCACAGCACCGCGCCAAACCCAGACCCCACCAGCCATGACCAAGCCGTGAGCCTCACTAAACCCAAGCGCTCGCGTGTCAGCAATGCAAAGGCCAAGACCGGATGCATAACGTGCAAGAAGCGACACGTAAAGTGCGACGAGACCAAGCCACATTGTCGCAAATGCCTCGCCATCCGAGGGCATTGCGAAGGCTATGCCCCGCCAAAGATTCCCAAACAGCGCGGTCGCGTTGCCGTTGTGGCTAAGACGGCAAATATGTTGCAACAGACCCTTCTCGATCCCGATCTTCTCGACTTCCATGATGCCACAGGACTGAAGTATTTCAATGAGTTTGTCAAGTTGTCGCAGGCCCCATGGAATGTTGCGGCATCCAACGGGGACCTCTGGAGTGTTTTGCTGCCACAGCTCGCTCGCGCCAATGACACGCTTCGCCATGCTGCCATGGCCATCGGCGCGGTGAGTCTGGGAGGACGAGGAACGCATTCTAGCGAACTCCCCTTGACTCCAGCGGGCCGGGGGCCTCCGAATTACAGCCCTCGTGAACTTCACGCTACTACGTACCTTTGCCACGCACTGAAGCTCCAAAGCCGCAGCAGCTCGGTGCAGGACACCATCTTCCTGTCCGTTATGCTTCTCTACTTTGAGACTCTCCGGGGTAACATCAAGGCTGCATTGAATCATGTCAACCATGGCCTCGCGCTCCTTCTGACGCTTACTACGAGCCAAGAAGCGAACGCTCACATCAGAAGCCTGGCCCCCAATCCAGGACCTTTGCTGGGTGCGGTGACCAGTGTCTTTTTCACCCTCGCTGCTCAGGCACGGCACATTCTCACCGGTCGCGTTGGTAACTGCAGGCCACTGCCGCACTTTGCAAAAGGTCTTCGCAATGCGTCTCGTTCCATGGAGTCGTTCATGCACCTCCTCTGCCAGCTATGGCAACCTACAGTCATGAATGATGTGCCCGAAGTCTTCGGCACCCTCGACGAATACGAGCATCACTGGAACTCTCTCCGCCGGGCTCAGTCCGCCATCGGTCCCCTCATACATGACTTGGTGCTATCCTCCGGTGTCATCGGCTGCTCCGACGCAGCCGCGATCAACACCTCCATCCACCAGATCCTAGGCCACCCACAAGTCCTTGCCTTCTATGCCGACAATGGACGAAAGATGCAGACCCTAGAGGGTGCCTTCCTTCCCCTCTTCCACAGAATCATGCTGCAATCCCACGACTCGAAAGACTACCTCCGCGCCCTCCACCTCCGCCTCCAGTACCTCGGCGTAACCCTCTTCGAGAACGCGCCCCAGTTCCTCAGCATCGACTCGGTGCGGGCGCTGACACCCCTGTTCCGCGAATTCCTCACCACCGCCTCGGCCGCGCTGCGCGCCGCCCGTCTGACGACCGACAAGCCCGCGTACGGCACGTCCCTGCAGTGCGGGCTGTCCATGTGGCTCTTTGGCACGGCGCTCTTTTGCCGCGACGCCGTGGTTCGGGACGAAGCCGTCGTCATGCTAAGTGAGTATCCCGGTCAGGATGGGCTCTGGAGCACACGTGCGCTGCATGTGCTCGCCGTGCGGAACCGAGACGTGGAGAAGGCGAATGCGGTCGAAGGGAGCGACGCGGAGCAATGGGCGCGACTATGGCGGCGGGAGTACGCCTTGGAAGAGGGCGGCGCCGAAGTCATCTTCCGGTACATGGAACGCCATGAGCATGCACCGGGTTGGGCCATGGTAGAAGAGGGAGCAGTCGTGCCCGCTGTCAGGGAAGCGACGTGGGTGAAGAGGCGGCCACGGAGCGAGAAGCTGCTCATGGAAGACCTCATGCTGTCGACCTAGCAAGATAAGCATGTTATATTGCTCCACCTTGGATACCACTTATATGAACATGGCCAATTTATTTGTCCTTCATAGTGCGAGGAATATCAAAGCTTCGGCTTGAGATGGTAACAGTTGCAGGGCCCGCTGTCCTACCACGATGCACTGCACACCCAGCAAGATGCGGGCAAGAGAGCGTGATATAGACTCGAAACATCGGCATCCACGAGGTCTGGCTGTCCTCATCTCGCCCGAAAAGACAGATTGTATGGTTGATTGACCGTCAGCTATTGCCACGTGACTTGAGCGCCCTGAAGGCAGAGGAAAACCCTCCGGTTGGACATGACGTGATTAGTCTCCGCACTTTCCGTGTGCAACAAGATCCAGGAACATGCTCGTACTGATGGCTTGGAGATGCTTGTCAGAGAAATTTGTACCTGCATAGAACGCCCGCAAGTCAGGTTGGTTTGGCCAAGCTGGCTGTATATGTAAGTGGCGGTAGCAAATAGCACCACTCAACCGATCATCTTGACGAACCATGGCCTTCACCTCAATCCCTCTTCTGGACCTCGCGCTCGCAGAGTCACCTAGCACTAAGCCCAGGCTGCTCGAAGAGCTTCGACATGCGCTGCTCGACGTGGGCTTCCTCTATGTTACGAACCATGGTGTTCCCGATACTGTCATAGCAAATCTCACGGCAGCTCTGCCCAAACTCTTTGGGTTGACGTCCGATCAAAAGGCAGAAGCGGCGCTTGCCGGCTCGCCTCATTTCCTTGGATACAGCGAGGTGGGCACCGAGACAACTGCCGGTGCTTCTGACCACCGCGAGCAGTTTGAGTTTGCGACTGAACTGGCAGCAACCTGGACCCTTGAACAACCACTTGCTGAGCGGTTGCGCGGACCCAACAACTACCCACCCGCCCTGCCGTCAATTCGACTAGTCGTAGAAGCGTACATTGCCGAGCTCACGCTCCTCGGCGAACGCTTTCTCGGCCTCGTGGCAGAGGCACTCGACCTCCCAGCAAAGACGTTCCTACCATTCCTCTCCGACCAGCATCGCCTCAAAACAGTGCACTACCCAGCACGGCCGGATGGAACACACTGCCAGGGCGTGGGCCCACACAAGGACTCGTCCGGATGGTGGACCTTCCTGCTACAGGCATCGCCTGAGGTTGGCGGCCTGCAGGCTCTCAACCAGACTGGCACGTGGGTCGACGTGCCGCCTCTTGCCGGCACGTTTGTCGTGAACATCGGACAGGCGTTCGAGGTCGTGACGCATGGCGTGTGCCGCGCGACAACGCACCGGGTACTCAGCGGATCGGAGGAACGGTTCAGCGTGCCCTTTTTTCAGGGCGTGCGGCGCAGCCTAACGAGAGAAGACGCCGTCCATTCACTGCGGGGACACTTTGAGCGGTTCGACGGTGGAGGGGTCGAGTCGGCGGAGGGTCGGGACGTCGACTCGGCCTTCTTGAGGGGCGGGTATGAGACGTGGGGCGAGAGTCAGCTCCGAACAAAGGTGAGAAGCCACAGAGAGGTGGGGCAGCGGTTCTACGGCGATGTTTTCGAGCGCTACGTCAGCGAGTAGCACACCACCTTTGCGTCAGTACGTCAATTGACTCAGCGCGCAGCGATTCGGGAAAACGCCATGGTCTCTGAATAGAGAGTGAGCTGGATCATGTCTTTGGCTGGGACGGCGGCGCGAAGGCAGCCTCACAGGCTCAAACCGGGACCTGCTGATCGGTCAGGGGAATTCACCAGCGAAGGAGAAAGGCGACTGACCAGTGAATAATAAGCATACTCATGTTGGCCTCCGACTGACCAGGAAAGCAATGCATAGTTTTCTGTGTGCTGGCTGGTACGCTGTACCAAGGCGGCATTGATCGCTCGGATCACCCGAGGTTGGCAGTGAGGCAGTGTCGGCTTGTTTTTGTTGTGGTGCACGTCCTTCTCGTTGCATCCCGCGTTCGTGTTGACTGATTGGTGGATAGAGGGGCAGGGGCAGGGGGGGGAGGGGGAGGCAGGGCCATTTGTGGAAGCGGCAGAGGCCCCGACGGAAAGAATGCACTGACGAGTGGAAGGCGCCAGCGACCGAACGGGGAGGCACAGGGCAGAAACAGGGCACAGCGGGACCAGAACAGGGCAGAACGAGGCAGCGGCGACGGCTGGACCAAGCAAAGACTGGGCAGGAACCAGGCACACCAGGCATCCAAGGCAGGAACGCGGCAGGGGACCAGGTGGACGAGCAAGTCGAGGTACCCTCATCAGGTTCAGCGCAACATCGACCAGTCCAGGCCATTACTCAAGCCCGATCGGAAAACCACGTCGTCCATGGCTTAAACAGGTAGCCGGTCGGAGAATTCCTCGTCGATTCATATTATGCACGTAGACCACATGCGGCGAACGGCCCCTACGTAAGCCGCCCCACCTCATCTCCCCTTTTAGAACGCTCCCGTCCAATAGCTGGTGACAGATCGACGGGCCACCCGGCACGGATACGAAGGGCACGTGCCAAGCCCTACCCCTGTCCATTCCCCTTAATTTCGCCCTCATTCTCTCCTCCTTGCTTCCCCTTGCCCCCCTGTCTATTGTCTTTAACGTCAAAACATCACCTTTCCCTCTTCACACTCGCTTCCCCCGAACTTAAGCCTCCTTCTTTCGGGACCTCGACATTTCTTTGCAGCAACCCATTCCAGGCACGCCTCACTCTTTTTGGCGCCTTACCACATTCGCTCTTCCTTTGACCAGACTTTGCACGACTTCTTCGTCTGTCGTACCGATCCCGGGACACGACCTTTCGTACAACCTCTTATTTTCCGCTTCTCTACAGTAACTCATCAAATTAAACCGTCACGATGCGCGTCTCCGCTACCCTTGCTGCCGGCGCCCTCGCCGTCAGCGTTTCTGCCCAGAACTACCTTGGCTTCAACTCCGGCGCCACCCTGGCCGACCGCTCTGCCAAGTTCAAGGCCGACTTCGAGGCCGAGTTCAAGGCTGCCCAGAGCCTGCCCAATGCCCCCGGCAACTTCAACGCCGTCCGTCTCTACACCAACATCCAGGCTTACTCCCAGGATGACCCTATTGAGGCTTTCGAGGCGGCCATTGACACCAAGACGTCCATCCTGCTCGGTGTCTGGGCCTCGGGCACTGACAACATCGACAAGGAGGTGTCTGCCCTGAAGAAGGCCGTCGAGAAGTTCGGCTCCAAGCTGACCGACCTTGTCATCGGTGTCTCCATCGGTTCCGAGGATCTCTACCGTGTCTCTGTCACCGGTGTGAAGAACAAGTCTGGTGCCGGTAACTCGCCCGACGCCATTGTTGGTTTCATCAAGGACTTCAAGGATGCCTTCAAGGGCTCTGCCCTCAGCTCCGTCCCCGTCGGTCACGTCGACACCTGGGACTCCTGGTCCAACGGCACCAACAAGGCCGTCATTGACGCTGTTGACTTCCTCGGTGTGAACGAGTTCCCCTACTACGAGAACGACAAGGGCAACGACATCAAGAACGCCGGTCACCTTTTCGACAAGGCTTACGACATCACCATCGCTGCTGCTGGTGGCAAGCCCGTCTGGGTCACCGAGACTGGCTGGCCCGCTGTTGGTCCCGACTGGGATCAGGCCGAGGCTTCTGTCCAGAACGCCAAGTACTACTGGAATGAGGTCGGCTGCCGTCAGCTCTTCGGCAAGACCCCCACCTTCTGGTACACTCTCCGTGACTCCAACCCCGACAACAAGATGAAGTTCGCCATCACCGAGTCTGTCGGCGGCAAGCCCCTCTTCGACCTCACCTGCCCCAAGACCTTCGACACCGACAAGCAGAAGGCCTCCTCCTCCGCTGCCGCCCAGTCCACCTCCGCTGCCACCGCTTCCGGCTCCAGCAACGCTACTGCCACTGGCAGCGGCTCCGCCTCGGAGACGTCTGCCATCTCTGGTGGCAACGGCTCCGGCAACGGCTCTGGCTCCGACTCTGGTTCGGGCTCTGCCTCCCCCTCGGGCTCTGGCAACGGCTCCGGATCCGGCTCGGCCTCTCCGTCGGGCTCCGGCAACGGCTCCGGTGCCAACGGCGGTTCTGGTTCAGGCTCTGCCGAGAACCCTGCCTCCACCGAGGGCACCTCCCCCTCCACCGTTCCCGAGTCCTCCGCCGCCTCGCTCCAGAAGACCGTCGCCGTCGCCGCCCTGGCGCTCGTCGCCGGCCTCTTCACCCTTGCTTAAGCGTCTCGCTTGCGCTCTTGGTGAACGAGAAAAGCAACATGTCTTTCTTTGGATCTTGGATTCGTGGGTCTCGGTCTTGGTTCTTAGCGGATCTGGTTTATTAGAGCTTGCAACTGGGGGTTTTTGTACACACATAGACGAGCTATAATGCATATCATTGCCTACTCCATGCGTACTTGACCTGGTGATGATTCTGTCTCGGATTCCAGCGTCCGCGTTGTGCATGCCATGATTGCTGCATGGGTCCAGTGTCGAGAATCGAATGAATTCGGTTACAGCACCAGGGTAGTATTGTCATTCTTTGTGCCCATCAAGCTTTTGCGCAGCCATGTTATTGTTCTGCGACGTGCCTACCGCGTATCGAGAGTGGATGAGGCAGGGTTGTGGGAGTGTCCACTCTTGCAGATGTTGCATCGTGAACGGGGCGATCTAGGTCTGCCAGACATCTTGAAATTTGTTTGTCCATGACCGGCTCGTCTATTCAGAGTTTGCCAGCCAACACGACGGGGGTCTAATCAACGGTGCTCACGGGACTGTGGAAGAGAATTGTGACATGGAGGTGTTCGTGAAGGGAACCATGTGAATTCGCCTCTTCCTGGATGCAACAGACTGCGTAGTTAGTTGTATATGCATGGCCTGTCTTGCTAACATGCAGAGAAGAAAAAAAATTAGACCGGCAAAGCAGCATGTGCTGTTGCAACTCAATCATCTACACTGCATTGCCAAAGGCCAAGCAAGACCCATCTCGAATGTCTACTTGGCTCTTCACGAGCGGTTGACTCGGCTGAGAGGTTTCGGGACGGGTCGCCTCGTGGCAGTGAGACAGCACCACTACCAACCTTGGCGTCTTGCCCAGAGCAGGTTTCTTGCACGATCCAGAGTGTCTCAAGCACCTGTTGGCAGAAGAGTCCACTGCGCAGGTCGACTGGTCCATGAGGCGCGGCGCGCGCATTACAAATTCAACATGGAGCCATCTTGCCTCCGAATGATGCCATTGATCTGCCCCTCATTCTGGAGTACCACTGGTTGGGTCGTCTGGCAGAGGGATTCTCGAAGCGTGGTTGAGTCTGTCTGTCGTGCAATTGATGATTGATTCTGGCATTGGGAAGTCTTCGTCTGGGCTGTTGATGAAATGGGCGCCCGGCGCGCTCTTCATCAATCGATGAGTGTGACGCCCAAGACAAGTCGTCAACCACAGGGCGCGCGGGGGGGTTGCGTAGGGCGCGGCTACTTGCGGTCATGAGGTGCAGGTTCCGGCGGCGGCGGCCGGCGACTCCGGCTGAATCATGCAGCGGTGATTGACCAACCCGAGGCCGAACCGAGACAAGCGTGATAATGAAAAAAAAAAGTCTTATCTCGCTCCAAGGGTCCGCTAAAGGCCCGCTAGGCCCCGCCGCTCTGCTCGAGACGTGACGACCAAAGAGCATCTCCATCTCTACACCTTCTATCCTGCCTTCAACATTGCCCGCCTAGCATTGCCCGCCTAGCATTGCCAGCCTAGCATTGCGAGCAACCTATCGTTGCCCTCGACTCGACCCTTCTTCAACACCGTCAGTCACCACACCATGGCCGAGACGCAACCCCTCCTCGGCCCCCGGGCTGAGCCACAGGACCCCCTCGCCTGCCTCGATGATCCCAAGCCCGTGTTCGACTTTGATCCCAACGGCGACTCGGACAACCCTCGCGAGTGGCCCGCCTCGTTCAAGCGGAACATCGTGGCCCTGCTCGCCTGCATGGCCTTTACAGTCACCTTCACCTGCATCTCCGTGGTGCCTGTCGCCCATCAGATCGTCAGCGAGCTCGACAATGGACGCCCCAACGACTCGGCGAGCGCCCTGCTCGTGACCATCTGGGAGCTCGGAGAGGCTGCTGGTCCTCTTCTGATTGCGCCGCTGTCCGAGGTCTACGGCCGCTACCCCGTCATGAACGTGTGCAACGTGCTCTTCATCGCCGCCACCGTTCTGGCTGCCGTCAGCCAGTCGTCGACTCTCTTCATCGCCGCCCGCGCCCTGACCGGTCTCGCCGTCGCCTCGAACGTCCTCAGCCCTGCCATCATTGGTGACATTTTCGAGCCCGACCAACGTGGCTCGGCCATGAGCCTCATGATGCTTGCGCCTCTCATCGGCGGCGCTGTCGGTCCCGCCATCGGCGGCGCCGTCGCCCAGACGCTCGGCTGGCGCCAGGTCCTCTGGATGAGCGCCGGTCTCGCCGTCGCCTGCGAGATCCTCTTCCTGACCTGCTTCCGCGAGACGTACAAGATGGTCATCCTCCGCAAGCGCGCGCCAGAGCTGTACCGGCAGCACCAGCTGGACCAGGAGCCCAAGGAGTCGAGCGACCACGGCAGCCTCCGGAAGCTCTGGCACTCGGTGACGCGGCCCATGTCGGTCCTCTTCAGCTCGGGCGTGCTCCTCGCCCTCTCCCTCTTCGGCTCCATCTCCTTCAGCTACTTCTACGTCATGTCCATCACGCTGCCCGACATTCTGCAGGACATCTACGGCTTCTCGCCGGCCCTCACCGGCTCGGCCTTCATCACCTTCAGCATCGGCTCCTTCGTGGCCATCGCCATCTGCAACTTCGGCCTCGACCGCATCTACATCCACCTCCGCGCCCACGACCCCGAGGGCGGCAAGCCCGAGCACCGCCTGCCCCTCACCATCGTCGGCGCCTTCGCCCTGCCCCTCGCCGTCATGGCCTACGGCTGGGCCGCCGAGCTGCGCCTCCCCGTGCCCCTGCTCCTCCTCGCCGCCGCCCTGCTCGACGGCTCGCTGCTGCTGGCCATGGTGCCCGTGTCGGCCTACGTCGTCGACGCCTTTGGCCTGTACTCGGCCTCGGCCATGACCGGCGTCATCGTCACGCGCTGCCTCATGGGCACCTTCTTGCCGCTGTCCACCGGCCCGCTGCGCGCCCACTTTGGGTACGGCTGGGGCTTCACCATTCTCGGCGCCGTCAGCCTGTGCCTGGCGCCTATTCCCATCTTCATCATGCGCTATGGCGCCACGTGGAGGAAGGCGTCGCTGTACTCGAGGGATACGTGAGGTGTTTTGGTTTGGGGCTGCGTTTCGCACTTGGTGGTTTCTTGGAATGGAGCATAGCGACGGCTGGGTAAAAAGTTGCATGATAGATAATGACTTGTTTTTAAAAGAGAGATTTCTTGGCCTAAAGTCTACTCAGGATCTGTGAGCAGGATTCCTTGACCTAAGATTCATTCAGAATCTGAGTCCAGATCAGTGTCGCTGCTGAAATCAACCTCGTTTACAGATACCTCGTCATCCGATCGTGTGTCACGATGGTCGAATTCACAACCTTTCACGCTTCCCGGTTGGCTTGTCCTCTCTGCGCGGGCTCCACGTTCTCTCAGGTACCGGCCAATGACTTTGGACCGCACAAATTCATTCGACGAATTACCACAGCATCGGAATGATACATCGACCCCTTGTCGTCGTCGAGAGTTTTGGGTCCCGATGGTGGAGACAGCATAATGTGTTTACGAGACCATGCGATGCAATGACGTTCAAAAGTAGGCCCGGGATCTGACGAAGAAACAGAGATCCAAAGTCTCGGCAAAGGCTTTCAAAAGATCTTGCTCGCCAATAAGCAGTGTCGTCACGCGTCGCATCGAGCCCGGTCGCGATCCATTGAGGCAGGGCTCCCTCGAACTCCCATGAGACAAATTCTCCCGTGTTCACATCAAGAATATCAAAAGCAGATTGCCAGCGCGTCGTCGTGGTTAACATTCGCATCTGCTCCGACACAGAGTGACGGAGAATAAGGTCTTTGGCAAGGTCGTAAAAACCAAATTCGAATAACCCCATTAGATTTTGTTTGACCATCATTAGTTCCCAGTTCCCTTCCGACCCAAGTCTTAGTATGCTCCACGGGCGTCTTCGTTTTAAACCGCTCTCATCGAATGGATGGTCGCATTCTGCCTTGAGGAATAATTGCATGTTGCTTCGAGGCACTCCCTGGGTCTTAAAGAATAATCGTAAGAGATTCTGATCCTCACGCAGTATACTTCTCTTTGTTAAAAGACGGAAACACCAGGCCATCTGATAACCTGCACAACTGGTATAAATTGGCGGCCAGGCATAAGACGAGATGTCGGTTGTACATCTCAGAGCTTCGCTCATTGCTGGCTCTATGAGTGCATTTAAGTCGAGGGGTCTGAATTTTCGTGACATGGTGCTTCCAATCCGGTCTGAATTGAGGTATTCGGCAACAGTGTAGTGCGCGAGACCAACTGTCGTCAATGATCTACTCATTGCCGTAGTGTTCGACCAGTACTCCGGACGACTCATCAAAAACGGAAATTCTTCTCGGAACCGAACCAGGCAACCGAGGGCGTTGCAGAGATTTTGTTCCTTCAGAAGAAATTGATTTTCGCTGGTTCGAGGGTCTCGTGTCTCCGGGTGTATTGCTTGGATGAGCACTCTGACAGGAATATCATCAGACCCACTTTGCAGAGTCTTGTGATGGCGAATCCAGGAGAGCGCATCCCTGACAAGAAGATCGTCTTCATCAATCTCCTCCGTAATCAGTCGAAATATTCTATCATAGGCTGCATCCAAGCCCTTAGGCATTGTGAGCAGAGCTTGGCGAAGAAAGGATTCTCTTTTGGACTGAATTCGCCGAAGGGTGTCTATCTGGCAAACCGCCCAACGGAACCTGTTCGGTCCATTAGCGAAGGACATGAGAGTTTGAGGAGTTGAAGACCAAGGCCGAACTGACGAAGTCCATGGCCAATGTACTTACATGCCTTCCGCTCTGACGGATATTATGTCCGCTGCTTCATTCATGAAAGCCTGATTGAGGTACTTGAAATCCGTCGTGCGGCGTCTTTCCAAGTCGTTGAATGTAAATTTCCTAATGTCATCTTCCACAAAAGGATTAGACATGTCGATTGATGTCGCGATAGGTTCCATGTTATCCTTAATATCCGGGTAGATTCTACTGGTTGCAAGGATCTTTAGATTTTGAAATCTATGTTCCGTGCCAAGCTTGTGCAACAGTTTCAGAAGTTCGGTCCGTGGTTTGCTTTCATCTAAAGCGTCGATGATAATGTAAATGGAGTCCCACATGTTGATCATGAAAACCAAACTGTCAAGCAATTGTTGGATACTGGGCTGGCGGCCGGAGCGATGGATGTCGATAAGCTGTTGCGGAATCACTTCAGATCGCCGGCACATCTGGTTGATAATCCAACGCAAGAACGGTAACGATTCATCGTGATTGCGAGTATGATGACAGTAGTAGTAGATATGGGCGATTGAAAGAGAGTTACCGTGCTGTTGCTTTCTGTTCGAAGTGGTAGCGATGCCGTATCGCAGTGCTGGCCAATCTCGGTGCATCAGTTCCAGACCGTGGAACAGGTGAGAGGCCAAAACGGTCTTGCCGGCACCAGGTATTCCCTTGAGCCACAGACATTGTGGCTTTACTGCCTCCGGATCTACCCACTTTTGCCACGCACGATCTCGGGAAACCCAGTCACCTGTGCCCTTCTCGTACAAAGCAGTTGCTTCATAGTGTAAGCTAGACGGGTTGACAATCGTGAGCCAATCCAATAAGCGGTGTCGCTCATCATCTGGATATTCGTCAATCTACTGGCCCTCTATGTCGTTACCATCGATGCCGAACTGATGAACTTACTGGTTAATTTCTTCTGAATATTTTCCACTGTTGTTTTGATCTCCTTGACATCCTTACTGTGTTACAGTCAGGTCTTGAGTTCATAATTGCGCAACTTGGCACATGCGACGTACGAGATATCTCCTATCATAGCGAGTTTAATCGTAGCCTTGTGCCTCATAATATCATCCAGAAGGCCCATGGCGCGAGTCTTCTTCAAGGGCCATGCGAGACGGGTCGCGATATTCTTCATTCTCGATTTCATTGAGGGACACGAATTGCCGGAATCGATATCTTCCGACGGAGGCAGCATAGCCTCGAGTTTTGTCAGAGCATCGAGACATCCGGCGATGGAGCCTGACTCTCCCGACAGACTCAACAGCTGGTCAGATTCGAAATCGGGGTCATATTCGATGAGAAATTTCAAAATGTCTACAGCGTTTCCGACAGACGTGATCTCGATGAGAAGCTTGCGAAAGTCTGCACGCGCATCTTTAACGTTTTCGACGTAGAATTTGCAGTGACTGGCGAGCTTTGCCGAGAGGTCGACGATGGCAATGATGCTTACGGGAAGCCCAAGGACCTCGGCCATCTTGGCCGCTGGAAGACTGTCACTAGGTACTTTGTATGGCGCAACAAATATTTCACTGGAGTCAACCTGCTGCATTCATAATTCAAGGTTTGCTTCCCTGCAACGAACTTACTGGCAAGTACTTGTCAGTTTGTTGACGAATTGTGGGCAGGGCAAGTGCTGACAAGAAGAAAATGAGAAATTCCAAACTTGCGACACACACAAGAGGCCCACCGAGTCTTATACTTGCCGCCTCTTAGGGGCTTTATCATGCTGTCGCACGAAATAGACACCACACTGACATCCAGTGGTAGGTCGTATTGGCTGACCGGCTGCAACCTGATTGTTCTACATGGGCCTAGATCGCCATCCTACTGATACTAGAGCAGGCTGAGGCTGGATGACCACTCATCACGGGGGAATAAACAGTGGTACGCAAAGGCAGCCTGGCCGGAGGCTGCCTTGGCACATGTCTCATGGCTGCCCGACAACGTAACACGAAAGACGGGCAGTCATGACCAAGGAGTATCGAGCGGGGTTGACCGCCAGACTTCTACCACCAGCACTGTTCAGTCCGCGATCCCTCATTCCGATAGGGGTATCTCACACTGGAAATGTATTTCACGGGTATGATAATCGTCAACTCGTCTTGATTGAGAGCAGTCAGTCTACAATACAGCTAGGTGCTATTACTCAAAAGCGACACACAGCCACCTAAGGCAGGCAGGTAGTGAACTTGGAGAGCCTGGCAATGACAGGCGCCTGCTGCGCAGCCGAAGCAGTCGTCTTGTCGGCAGCGTCACCAATGCTGACGGTAGCGTAGCAGGCATCAGTCCTCAAAATGACGCTCGTCTCGGTGGGCAGCCTGGTGCTACCGCAGCTGAGGGCATCCTGGGCGGAGAAGATGCCGGGGTTGAGCCTCGTCAGGACGAACTTGAAGTCGTTGGCCGTCTTGCAGCGGTTGTCGATGTTCTGGAAGTTGACGTTGAGCCAGACGTTCTCAGGGAGGTAGGGTTTGCCGCCGGCGACGACAGCGTTGACGAGGCGCGTCGCGAGCTCGGCGTAGACGGTGCTACGCGTTGGCACGGGCTGCGTGTTCCAAGCGAGCGTGCCGCTGCTGGAGCCGGAGAAGGCGATGGAAGGGAGCTTGCGGTCCTTGGCGGCGAAGACGGCGCCGCCGACGGTGCCCGAGAAGGGGACCTGAACCCAGATGTTGGAGCCAACGTTGGGGCCAGTAACAGCGAGGTCGGCGCCCTGAGGCCAGGACTGTTTGACAAAGTTGTCAATGCCATAGCGGAGAGCCGTCACGGGGAACGAGTTGACCCAGTGCAGATCGGGCGAGGTGGCGTTGACGCCAAGAGGGCCGCTGTTGGCGGGGCACGAGTTGTATTGGCAGGGCTCAGTACGTGGCTTGGGTTCCTCGTCGTTGGAGCCTAGGGTTGATGGTGGTCAGCTTTGGGGTTACACGACAGACGACGAAGGGCGTGACGGACCACTGCCAGACTTGTTCTCAGCGGGCGCAGAGAGAATGACCTGGTGGCCGGCCGCCTTGAGAGCGGCATTGGCAGAACGGGCGTACAGTTCGGCCCAGCCATCATCGTTGCCCTGAATGATGCGCACACCCTGTGCAATGGCCGCGAGCTGCGCCAGAACGGCGAGAGACGTCGCACAGACACGCATGTTGAGCTGTCAAGCGGGTTGTTTGCGGGGACTTGTGGGTGCACCGGGGGCAGCTAAACTCCTTGGCGAGTGGATCGTTGTGAGGATGATGGCTTCGTCCTTGGCTTCAAATTTGCAAGGAGAGGGTCGCAAAGCTTCTATTTAACCTCTGACCAAAAGCATGACAACGGGCACACGGGGAACACCTGCCCTTTCAAATGAACCACGCAGCCCACGTGCATGATGTTTATTCCCAGATGCTGGCATACTGATCGACACTCAATTCCGGCAAGCTCCATGCTGGCCCCCTCAGCGACCAGGGAACTCGACTGATGATCGCCAGCCAATGACTCCCCTGGCATCCCGCATTAACCACTCCTGCCAAAGAGTTCCGGATCGCCAGGGAGAGCTTCTACGGCGTCTAACCGACATCCTGTCGTGGGTTCGAAGAGCAAATGCTACGCAAGCTGAACGCTCAGGCGCCATGGCTTACGGCACGTGCATGTTCAACACCAGCTCTGCCGTTCTCCTTCAAGTTGTTATGTCCGTGGTGGCTGCGGAGAGTGTTACTGTAGACGGGGTAGCTACTATTAAGCGTGCCGGGCGCCCGAGTTGCTGCATCGGAGATCAGACCGATCGGGCTAGACCCAAAACTGGTTGGACATTGGTTGCGACAGATGACAGAAACCTAGACTTGCACATGCTTTTGTATCGTGCCATCTCTGTCATGCTGGTCGCCTCAGAAAGACATATTGCGGAGAAAGCACATCGAGTCTGAACGGGCAGGTCAACTCTTTCCCAGTCCATGTATCAGCTCCGAAAGATCAGGAGAGGCTGGCGGTTACGCTTGTATTGGTTAAACCCTCGTTTCACACAGATTACTGGCTTCCCCGCCCTGAACTGGCAGACAGGATCCACGAAGTGTGTCTGACATGTGATAGTAGGCACTCGCCTGTGTGTTCGACGGACTTGCTTCCTCTCGACAGTTTCGCGACGTTTCCTGATCACGTCGTGGTCACGACGCAGAGACACAAGATGTACACACAATAACTCATGTCGAACGATCAAAGAAGCTCGCCGCCCTCGGCCGATGCACGGATTCCGGCAGCTGGGGCAAGGCCCGGTATTTCTGATGGCCCCCGCAATCCCCTCACGACGCTATCAATAGTTCGTCGGCAAAAGCAGAGCCATCTGTTCGCTGAGTCGCAATCTGGGACATGGGTGCCTGGCCATCAAATATGCCCACCCAGCCGCGTTGTTCCAAAGGTAGCAATCATTCATCGCTGACCCGTTGCTGCGAGACCACGCCGCAAAAGCAATCCACTGGTATTGACAGCTGCTATCGTCTTTCAAACACGATTGCGAGTCCCCAATTGCGACATGGCGAAAGAAATATTCGCAAAGTCATTGCCGCAGTCAATCGACAAATACGACGTAGCCGCGCTTCTGAAATCTACACCTATGAAGTCCTCTGTACACTTTGTACTCTCGTGGCATCTAAATCCTTTGGCGCGCCCTGGCGTGCCGCGTCTGCTCGACTGATGGGCGTGTTCAGGAGAGGTACCAGTAATACATTGACCAAACACTAGTCATCTGGCAAAATCGTAAGGGACCTGCAGCGTTAGCTTGACAGCCTCAATCAATAGGTTGATTTGATTAGCTACAAGTAATTGCAAATCGATCGAGCATAGGGTAGAAAAAACTCGACCTGACAAATGTTTAAGCTCTTTCGGATGAACCTGAGTATCATTTCTGTCAGAGCGTTGTTTAGAGCAGAGTGAAGGGGTCTTCCACAGGGTCCGCAGGTAGTCAGAATATAGGTATGGGATAGGAATACATCTGAATTCTGGCCCTCCCGCAGCCTATATATACGTTTCCCGTAGCCCTTAGCCTCTGGCCGACCCCCTGCTTGGCGACTCCGCAGGGAACCCGTAGGGTCCCCTGACGATTTCCCATAAGTCGGTCTATAGTAACCGCACAATAAGAACATATATGCATGATAGAGATGCGCTGGCATGGACCGAAGAGTACTGACAAGCAGTATGAGCCAGTGCTTGTTGGCGCTACTTTCTGAAGTCCAACCAATATGGATTCGACCGAAAGTTCTTTTGGAGACGCGAAAGGTGTTCATTTGGTGGCATGATTCCGTTCACCACCAAAGCTCGCTGCACAGAAAAAGTGTCGGGAGGCCACGAGACAGGAGGCTACTTGAGGGGACTAGGAGATGACGTAGGAATGGGCTGCGGAGGGGCCTCCTAGCTGCGGACGGCCAGAGCTCATATATGCCATACTCTCTCCCTGAAAATCAGCTGCTGATATTAGCTGCGGATGACTTCCTCAGTCTCCTCACCCACATGCTCTGGCAAAAGCGAGTTCAGAATGATTAATTGTTCCATCAAAGGATCTAAATGATACCTGTTCTTGTAATTGGAGATATTGCTTTTGCAACTGCCGCTACCATGCCTATCTACGTATTACAGATCTTTGCGCATGAAAACAGTACGAGGAATGGCACCCTGAAACTGTTTCTCATCTTCATAAAACCCTGGCTCAGTGTGTACGAGGCGGTACCCTCTCCTTGCATACCAATCCTGGTTGGCAACCTAATTCTCAGAAGTCAGCATGCTTCCCAAGCGGTTGAGAGTGATCCGCAAAACCCTTACTCACCTTTGGATTCTGAAATTTGATCTGGTCGTCTTTGAGCAGAGTGTCCAGCATGAGCGTTGTGGCAGAAAGCGGTGGTGAAGTAGCCATGCCTTCTAGTTTATCCATGGCTGCTCTACCGATGCCGCTGGACCGCAGAGCCTTTGAAATGAAAAGACTTTTGATCCATAGTGTTGAGTCCTCGGGCAAGTCAAGGTTGAAACCATCGGCTTCATGATATGAAATATCCAATGCAATATGGCCGACCGGGAAGAACTCGTTTCCCGACGGCTGTAGAGTGAGGCCCCGGAGCGTAGTACAGGTGTCTAAAAGAGGATCGCTTTGCTACATCTACTTGTCAGTCTTCATCGTCTCATTTGAGCCAAACCGATTACCCTTACTTTTGGATGGGCCGACTTGTGCAGCTGGATCATCTCCCCTGCTTGTGGGTCATGAGATTGTAGAACCTGTGGCTGTTTAGCAGGTGAAAATATGGACTGCATGTGCCTAATCAGCAATTGTCGGGTACTTACCAGCCAGTAAATACACTTGATCCCTCCCTGTTGGGCCTCCTTCCATGCCCCGGAGGGTTTGTCAATATGCCAACCACAGTCAATGCGCTGCTGGGTGAGCCGGTCGATGTGTTCAGGGGAGAGTGGATCCCATGGCACGAGGGCCACAGTAGAGGTGGCAATGTGTTTGACGTGCATATTGGTGATGCGATCTTGATGTTCCACGTTTTGGAGTAATGCTATCTGACGCAAAAGGCTGGAAGTCTCCGGGCTTTTATTACTGGCACCTGGATGAAATGGCACCCAAGAAATACAGTTAATCGGGTTCTGCTCTTGACACAAGACATGGCTGCCCTACCCCGCAGAATAACTGGTTGACTCATAAATTCGATTGAGAGCCGACGATAGCCCGCCGCTAAACCGTATCGATGATGGGAAATATCACAATCGGAAGACTTGTGGACCTTGCAATTCTGGGGGCACAACCTTCATCCCAGACCTAGTCGCGGCTCTTTCTTTGTTACGTGCTGTAGATGAACACATTGGATATCAGCTATTTCTGTTAAACACAGACATGCAAATTTCCATCAGACGACCGGTTGCTTCATAGGAACGTTTGTCTTGAGGTATCCTCTACTCGCTGCATTCGACGCCGCAGAAGCTCCTCAGCCACACTACAGCTCTGAGCGGTGCGGGGCGGCTCACATGGGGTTGAATATGGTTCATTCAAAGTAAGTAAGGTAGGCACTGTATCAGGGTGGCTCGATCACCATTCATCTTGAGGCCAATCGACCACCATGACCGAAATTTTCCTTACTATCGCGTTTCATAAAGATAAATCTGAGCCTTCATATCCTAGACAGGCGGCTATGACAACAAGAAATTTATGTCGTGATTACTTGAAATCCCAAGCACCTTTTTACTTTACTTAAAACTTTAGGACTTACGTCCTGTGTTAAAGATTACGTGCCACGACTTTTTGAAGCCAACTTGAGTTGATTTATTAGCAGAGGCGACTTAGTTGCGGCAGCATGATTTTTGTCCTGGTTGTCAGGTCTCGCCGCTGGTAAGTTGGACTTTGTTGCGTTTTTGCAGTCAGTGTGTCGGTCTCTGTATGTCTGTTTGCAAGCAGTCTTGGCTCACGAGCTTCAGCGTTCACCAATGATAACATACAGTACACCCATGTAATTAATTGCACCGCATTGATTGGACCTGGCAACAGCACTTCCTCGCAAGACATCAGTATCTCAAGTTTCGAAAGCGATGGCTTCTGTGTTAAAATAATATCGAAAAAAGCTAACAAACAACCATAGTGCTCCTGGGACATGCGCTTTAGATCATGTGACCCGGTCAGGTTCGGAGCAAGGCACTTAAACAAAACAATACACGTCAAGGTAAAGAAATACCGATGCTATGTTTATTACAGCAAGTCTTAATTCTCAATTGTTGTGAGTGCTCCCCTAGCTGAAGGAGCAGCGACTCAAACATGACCTAATCTAATAAAAAACGTTCTATCTACATCCAAAGTCCGGCACTGTGTATTGTCTTCCAAGATGTCCAGTCTGCTAGGAATACCGAGCTTGAGAAACAATCTCTCTCGCAAAACTGAGAGTTGTCGTTTGCATGTTGGAGTAGCCGCGGACAACTGCATGTGGTGGACTAGGGGCACTCGGCGGCCGCGCCGGTGCTGCATCCCTCGTTGACCGTGTGACCATTGGTGATAGGCCAGTCAGCGTGTCCAGAGCCGCCCCAGCCATCGTACTCAAAAGTGGCCATGCACAGCTTAGTGATCTTCTTCCTGACAGTTCTGCTCTGACTGTCGGACCAGCCCATGAGCATCTGTGTCCAGTAACTGCCCTTGCTTCTCGCTGGCACGGTGCACCGGGTAGCGCCGCCGATGGACTTGGACTCAGACCAAGAGTAGCCGAAATTGAGGTTGGGCGCAGCATTGATAGCTCTCTTAACATCGGGGACCGAGTCCATTCCGAAGCCGATCGAGAAGGACGTGCTCTGGGTGCGGCCCCAGTTGAACTCCTTGATGCATTCTCCGCTCGATAATTCACAGTAGAGGCAGCCCGAGGACTTGATCCAAGGTCCCCACCATGTGCCCGACGCGACGACGCGGTGCTCGCGGTAGGTATACGTCTGAACCTGGCAGGTGCCGTGGGCCTGGCGAGCTACAATGGCTGGTCCCTCGACAAGAGAGAAAGTCGAGCCGCAGGCAAGAGTCGAGTTCTCGGCTTCCCAGTCGTGATTGTCGAGGAGTTTCTCAATGCACGCGGTATCATCGACGACATTGACTACTGCCACGTCTTTGGCGGCGGCGGAGGCAGCGAGAAGAACGACGAGTGAGCTTAGCCCGCCGAGCTTCTTGAAATAGGAGAGAGAGACCATCTGATAGCTGGTTAGGAAGGCAACACCGTCAGCAGAGAAAAGAGTACATACCTTTGCGAATGTGGAATCGAATTGAATGGGATGAGAGGCGAGATGTGATTTAAAAGATGCGAAAATGCGTCTTTTTATAGTTTCCAGAACCCCTTCCAGAACGTGTTCGAGACTCACGCCAGCGGTGGCCTGAGAAAGCTCACGATACCTTCACCCGCTCGTGCCAGGCACTCCTACAACTTGGGTGACTTGGGACATCATGGTATGCTCGATCAGGCAGGTAGTCGAGTGCGTGATGGGTCCTCGGTTCGTAATTCGGCTCACGATGCAGATGTAGGCATGGGGCTGGGAACTTTTGTAGTTTGGAACTTTTGTCAAGCCTCGCCGCGCCTAGCTGAGAGTTCTTTCTGGGTTCATGTCGCACAACAGGGGCTAGGCTCAACGATCCTGTTGGTTAGCTGGGGCTGCCACGATTGTGCTCGACGTGCGATTGGCCTGTGGTATCTTGATGTGAGTCTGAGGTGCGAAATCTTCGAAAGTCAGCTGTTAGGCTGGCATGGATTATTAGCGCTTAATACGCCCGCTGCAGGCTCGCCGCCAGTCTCTTGATGGGATTTGAAGACGGAAGTGGACAGCTCACTTAACAACAGAGACACATCTAATGAGATCATCCCTTGTCAGCCTTACCATTCGTCTTCACTAGAATTGATTGTTGCTAGAGACGCCCTGTCAATACAACACTCATCCATCGTTCTGCAGCTCTGCGGCCTAGAGCATCTCGGGCTATCGATATCCTACATACTAGAACTCGAGCATGGCGAGGTTATCATGCAGATTTCGTGTATGAATCAATCCTGGGATACCCATGTAGATGCCCCCAGTGGAAAGCTTGAAGCCACGATCCTTCAGATTTATCACTGCGCGCGGTGCGATTAAGATTTCACCGCTTGGCGAGGTTCATCAAGCAAGCGACCTTCCTCTTCGGCACTGCTGTGCCCTTTCCCTGCATATTGGCCTCCACAACCGCGAGGCACAGTTGAAGAACGCAATCACCCGGACGTAGGGCAGAGGTGCATGTGGCTTCTTGTGGACTCGTCTTCGCGGCCGATTGGCAGTTCGCACGCAGCAGCCAATCCTCCACCAACCATAGGCTGTCTCGGCTGGCATTCAATAGACACGATCGCGAAGCCGGATCAGGCCGAGCGGAAGTCAATCTCAGATAAGCTTTACTCGCCTGACCCCACTATGTCGACCAAAACGCCCGCTGTGTATGCCAGAAACAGTTAGGTGGGGTATAGGAAGGGTCAGAGGGGCCTCAAGGGCGACTTAGCCGTACCGCTGCTTTGACTGTAGTGCATGACTTTTGATATGCTGCCCGGCGGAAATCTAACCTCTTCAGCTGACATTTTCAGAAACCCTGGGCCCAGAACAAACCCCTGGTCCATCTGACGGGCGCAAGCTGTGATTCCGGAGGTTTGGTCCGTCGTTCGGCGTCACACAGCATAGGACTTCCTGGAGGACTATTCATCACATATCTCTTCCCTCGTAGAATTTCTAGCCCTCGCTCTTCCCGCTTCGCCTCCGTCCATCGTCCTTTGTGCCTTGTGATTTCAATCGCCCTTTATTATGATTTGAGCATGATACCATAATGTTACTTCTTGCCTTGGACCACATGTCGTGTTTGACCAGGCCCCCACAGGCATCAAATGGGGAGGGGGGAGGGGTGCGATTTGCTGTACCGCCCCTTAACTGCATGCCAGCTGTCAGAGACCGAACCGGGCTCTTCTAGTAAGTCAGTGAACAGAATTCATACGCGCTTGATGGCGGCAACCCTCCTATCCGGGATAAGGGCCAAATTGGCATAACAAGTCAGACGAGATCCGCGGCAAACTCATGACGACAGGAGGAATTATTCATCGAACACCTCAGCCTGCAAAGAAGAAAGGAGCCTAAAAATGAGTGTTACAATTTTCACTTTTACTGGAAAAGACTGTCCTTTTGACCTCCATCCTGTGGTCGGAACTTGAGTATCTCGTCCTCGTCCACCTCTAGCTTTGCTGTCATGGTCTTTGCCAATCTATCAAGAGCTCCCGTGTTCTCAAGCTCAGGCACGCGCACCTTATCCCACCCACTCAGATTATGCACCAGCAAGGCGAAGCTCGAGTCCTTGACGAGGCTGTCCTTTCGTGTTGAAATCACGGTAAATGTGAGGAGAAGTGTGACGCATAGTGTCTCAAGGGCAATGACTGTCATCCAGGCCCAACGTACGTGGAAGTAAACTTCCTCTGTCAACATTTCTCCCCCAAAGAGTTGCCCTTCAATATTATCGCCGTGCTCTTTGCTCTGTATGAGACCGTCTAAGGTCTCTGCCATATTCCACATGGCGGTCTTGAGCCCGTTGAGCAGTATCCAGGCGCTCAACGGATTTTTCAGGACGTATTGTTCCTGAGTAAGGCTGATCATTCTTTTTATTGAGGAGGGTGACTCAGATGTGAGGCTATTTGGCATTTCTTTCAGGAAGAAAGCAACTGTATCCATGACGTAGTCCCGAGACTGAGGGTCCAGCACCAATTCCGTGTCTGTTGACGGGGCCACCCAGTACACGCTGTCGTCGCGGTCGTCGAGATGGCGTCTTCGAAGCGGCTCTGTGAACTTGGGCAGGTATCGCCTGGTCCAGTCGTCTGGTGCTGAAGTATAGTTCGAGTACGTTTTAGCGCAATAGTAGAAAAGAACACGGTGGACCTCAACATCAGGCGGCCCTACAGAGGTGGAAAAGGATGTTGACCTAGTGGTCAGGATATCTGCGCCCGCCACTATTGTCCGAATCGGTTTTCCCTGATCTTGTCCCGACGAAAGCTGCGTCAGATTTGCAAGACCACGATAGGCTTTGGTTTGTAAATACAGAGGGTCTTGAACGGGGCTCGGCAGCTCCTCCTCTTGGCTATTCGCTAAGCCACGGAAGACCCAGCTCACGTTGGACCGATATGGGGTGTGGTCTCTTGCTTCCTCACTTAACACTAGAATATCATAGGTGTCCTCTGGAATGTTGTAGGTGCAGTTTACTTCCCATATGGCGCTGTCTTGAATCGGCTCCCCAGATGTGAGTGGCGACGCCTGCCGCACAATGGGGCTGCAGGTGCGTGTTGTGTTGTCGGTAACGTTGTCGATGCTTACGCACATACCCAGTGTCGTGTATTCTGGCCACCGGCACGGTCCGCCAATGCAGAGAGAACTCAGCACTGTTACAGTTTTAGTTATCCCGCGTATCATATTCGAGACAAATTGAAGGCGACTCATAGGCTCCACTCCCTCAAGGGCTGCTGAATCGTCTTGCACAAACGTCGGAGACTTCGCCTCCTCACCGGTGCCCAGCCCCAAGACTTACTTTGGGTCATATACAAGACTTTGGATGTGTAGTTTGTAGCGTATGCCAGCAGAGGAACACGACTATAGTCTATAGCCTCCCGTGTATGAATCTCCAGGACCTGCTGCACACTCGGACCGATGGCGAGCGAGAGGATGGTCGTGATAGCCAGCAGTGAGATGACCATGTTTGCCTTGCCTAACATGAAGAGGGCCTGGAGGGAACCCCATGGTCCTCGGCTCGCTTTGTCAATGAGGTCCAGGTGGTTTAGGCTGTGAGCACGATTTTGGAAGTGCCGCCACTTCAGCTGGCTGAGACACGATGAGATGGGGACCGTAATCGCGGTCCGCGAGGCGGTGGCTATGATGGCAATATAAGTGTTGGGCTCGATGTTTAGAAACCCATGCCACGACAACCGCGGCGACTGGTCGATAGAGCCGAGCATCATGAACAGCAGGCCGCAACCTATGATGCTGACCATGCAACCGGCTATCTCCCACCACCACCACCAACTTCGGAGCCATGCGTGTTGCTTCAAGCGTTGACCATTGGACTTGCGTGGGCTCTCGATCGTGGTTGACAGCTGCTCGTTTGCTGGGGGGAGGAGAGACGTAGCTGCACTGTGTGTGATAAGACGCGTCGGCGATGCCGACATTCGCCGGGCCAAGGGCTTTCGGGGCTGGTAACGCATGGCGTATCGAAGGAAAGTCCGAGCGTGTTGGGGATTAGCTGGCCCGTCGGTCATCTTGTAGCAGCAAAAGGTTATGAATTGATGTCAAGCAATGACACCAGACATCCGCAAGAGACAGCCTGATGGGGGGATGCTTATAAAACCCGTGCGCCTCGAATTCCGTATACACCGATTACACGTGCGGCACACTAGTCAGCACCAAGTTGGTGGCTGAAGCAAGATGCACACTGATAGGCTCGTATATAGCCCGTAAATGGTGAGGCCTTTGGAGAGGCGAGTCTGGTCTGCCATCTGTACTGATTGGTTCGTATTCCTGCACTTCTGCTCCATGCAAAGCTTGACACGCGACCTCCGACTGGGAGGCTGGGAGCGTTATCATACTCTCCACCATTGTCCACCTGCAGCGCGGGTTACACAACTCCACACAACTGCTGTGTCCCCGTGTCGAGGTTGTTCAGCAGCACAGTCACCTGGCCCCTCCGCATGAGGAGGGTTGGCGCGGTGCTACCTCACGTACATATTTCTTTTCATCCATGGGAGCTTCGTTTGTCTGCGCATAAATCCCTTCAATTACGTCGCAACGTCCATCAATACCAGTCGCCGGCAAAGTGATCTTCAACTCGGAGAGCGTGCTGAAGCCCTGCGGAGCCTTGAAATAGGGGCCCGGTTAAGGCCCATGGGCTACTAGAACGTGTATACAAGGGTTGCGAAGGGCTCTCCTAGCTGCGGAGTGCTAGAATCGTGATGTATCTTGATCTGTACGTATCCATTTGCTGTGGATCCTCAAGTGCGGATGACCTTCTCAATCTGCTCAATCCAAAGCTCTGAGACCTTCTAAACCCCATCCTTCGCAGCAGCTCCATGACTCGGAAGAAAAGTCAAGCTATTACTGTCCCCAATAGCTCTCACATCTTACCGAGCATATGAAAAGATGGCCTCCACAACCATGGGAGGGCCAAACTCGAGGATGCTGTGGCCTTTCTTCTAGGCTCGGATGCAGGTGGTCGTCTTGGCGAATCACTTTGTGCGATCTGCGCACCAGATTAGAAAGGGAACGTAACAGGTGCTCACTGCTTTCTTACGACTGGCCTCGACATCAATGAAGAATGCAATGAAGTCTTCGGCACTTCAACAAAAGCTTACACTCAGACACAATTCACAAGGCAGCAACACCTCAAACCGATTTCTGCAGAGACATGTCATTTTCACCACGTCGGCCGTAACTCGTGACTCGTATCCTAACCATGCAAAGCCCCCTAAATCAGTCCTTGCCGAAAAACTTGCCCAGCCCATCCTTGGCATCGACAATCTCTATCTTGACGAGCAGCGCACACTTTGTCTCCTGCCCCTTCAGGTCGAGCATGCGGATGAAGTTCCACTCGCCCGTGGCGTAGAGCAGGCGCACGGCGGCGACGGCAAAGATGGGGTTCGACGCCCACGAGTCGTCGCTCTTGATGAGCATGCGCAGAAAGACGAGAGGGTTGTCGTCGTACTCCCACTCGAGCACCTCGTCCCAGACGGGGTCGTTGGCGGGCGGGTTCTTGCCGTCCTTGTGCAGGAAGCCGAGCTTGTGCTGCCTGTAGCCGGCCGTCTTGCGCTTGGGCGGCTTGCTTGTCAGGTCGTCTGGGTGCACGAGGGTGCAGGTGAGGTAGGGCTTGATGTCGTCAGGAGCGCGACCGTCGGGGAGCGGCACGTCCGAGGCGCCGGCAACGTGAAGACGCAGCTTCTTCTTGCGGCGCTTGTCGGTGAGCTGTCCGTCGCCTCCCGATCGAATGGCGGGCGGTTTGAGGACATAGCCATCGGTGCCGCTGAAGAGGGCTTCGTTGATCTGCATGGCGGCGCCAAAGGTCTGCCAGTTGAGGGCGCAGATCTGGGCGCCGACAGCCCAGAAGGGCACGGGCTTGAGGTTGCGCGACGAGATGCGCGTGCCCTTGGGGTAGACGCGCATGAGATGGCGGGCATTGTGATTGGCAATGTGGGTGCTCTGCGCCGGCAGATGGGCACCGAGGCCCGACTCGGACACGTTGATGAGGTGGTGGTGGGGGCCGACAAACTGGCCGCCAGGGTCGAACCACGAGTTGTTCGGCGGCTTGACCGACTGGGCGTAGACACCGAGCGCCGATAGCTCGGGAATGATGACGGCGGAGGGGGCGGCCGTGTGCTTCTTCTCGTGCCAGACCTTGCGGGCGGCCTTTTCGTCTTCGGCCTCGTCGTCGTCATCGCTGCTGCTGCTGCTGCTGTCCGAGTCCTCCTTCTCGTCGGGGTAGTGGTACTCGACAATGACGGCAATCTTGGATCCCAGCTCGGCGAGGGTGACGTGTTCGCCGGACCCTTCCTGCTCGCGGTGGCCCTCTTCGCGGATGGCCCTGCTCAAAAGGCGGTCGCCGAGGACCTCCTTCATGATCTCGACGAGACGGCGCTGACCATGGGCGTCACAGTGATTCTCGAGGGAAAGGATGATGGGAGCCGCCTGCCATCCGGCCTCGGTGTGTTTCCTGGCCTCCTCTGTTTCTTCATCGTGCACGTCGCGAATGGCCTCACAGACGGCGCGGAAGGGAATGTTGGAGGTCAACGTCCAGCCGTGTGTGACCTTTGGCTCGTCCTTGTTGTCACTGTTGTCCCAAGCGTCAATCTCTACGCAGCGCGATCCCGCCTTGAGGGCCGTCTCGTACGCCGTCGCACACGAGTTTCCGTACAGCTGGTGTGCCAGGAGGTACGTGTTGTGGCTCGAGCTGACAAAATAGTCTGGCAGCGGGTAGGATCTGTCGGTGACGTCGGCGGGGACCCTGATGTGCGGTCGCACGATGAGGTCGCGAAGAGCTGGCCCGACGACATCTTCGGTCTCGAGGTCAACATCGCTCGCGGGCAGAATGCCGTGCTCGGCAATGTAGGCCTTGAGGGCATGGCTGACGCGGAGGTTGTGCTTGAGGGCCGTGTCGCGAGCACCGTGGCCTCCGCCGGCGAGGGTGCCGTTGCTTACCTCCTCGCCGTCGTCTTCTGTGTCGTCCTCGTGGGTGCGGGCCGCGAAGGGGTTCAATTTGGCCATGCCCGAGGTGAGGATCGACGCCATTGTGCGATGAGCAGGGGGGTCTGGCCCGCGATGACAGGGCGACTGCGGGGTTCCACTGTGTGAGGCAGATGATGGTAGGCTGGGGGAGAGGGATACAACAGGTGGAGTGAGATTTGCGGGACAATATTGACTGATGGATGCAGTGAAGAAGAGGCAGACATGCAGGTGTTGCAGTGAGATTGATGATGATGATGGTCAGGCGGGCGACGATCAAGGCGACGACGAGATGGCGAGCTAGAGCCTCGCAACACGAGGAAGGAGGGGCTACGTCAGGAGCTCTTGCTTCTTGCTTGCTGGTTAAGCGTCGCCCAATCACGAGCTCATCGCTGCCATCGGTACGTACTGGCCGCGTGTGTAGGTCTTGGCAGCTGCGGACAGCTGACGTGGGCATCGTCATTTTTGTATCAGATCAGTGCCTCTTATGATGGTATTCATGAGCAACGTATCATTATGATTTGAAGTAGATCGAGGCAGAAGAGAATCATTTCTCATCGGACTAACAGACGATGTATTGAAGCCGAGAAGAGATCCAGAGATGGCATGTTGCGCAACGTCGCCTTGCCAAAGTATACACAGCGGAATCGTGACCTGGACGAGTCCTTGGACACCTCCTCCACGTCGCCCGTGCTACGGCATACGAGGCCTGGCATACCCTTTATTGTGATTCATCATGGTTCATTCCTCATTATTGAAGTGACCATGGTCGACAGCTAACCTTTACGTCTTCACGACTCTCGCAGAGAGCAACAGCCGCGGCAGGGCAAGTGCGGGACGTCGGGATCAACCTCAAGCCATGGATTCTCACTCTCATCAGGTAGGTAAGAGTAGGTTCATGTCTCAGTGGGGCTGTGAGGCCGATTCTTTGGGCTTAGTTCAGTGCCGGCGCTTTCCCAGTGAAGATAGCAGACATGTCAATCAGGGAAAAGTCAAGGCAGTGTCTTGCAGCATGTTTTGATCAGCAGGGTTGGTAACGATGATGGTCACTCTACCTCGGGAGACACGAGCCAACAAGGTTACTTGGAATATTTTGCGTTTCATCAGTTTCTCGAAAAAGTCCCTGGGTAGAAACTGCATCATTCTGATCCGGTCATGATTGTAATGACAAACTCTGATTCTTGGTTTCCCAAAACAACTATGATTAACTACCTCATTACAGAATCCAATTTCTCCTACTACCATTCATCACTTTTCATAAAGCACGTAGAAACCAGGCCACACACATAAAGCGGCAGCTCGATCCAGCTGGTCTATCAGGAGACACATGCTGTAAGGCCGCCACCGCTGAGGGAAAGCACACATCTCTGGCCGCCGCTACAACCGATATTGAGGCCAGGCACACAGAGGTTGGGAAGGATGCAAACGTTCACCGATGCGCTGCCAAGACCGGCAGCGACACAGATGAGACCCGAGTCGCAACCCCCGCCAGCATTGCACGTCGCCGGCGAGTTGTTCGACACGCACGTGTTCGGGCCTGTTCCGCTGCTGGGCGCAGTGCACGTCTGGGTGGACGTGCAGCCGGGCGTGCAGACGAGGGGCTGGGGCGTCGTGACTTCGTTCGGCTCGCAGGTGTTGGGCCCGGTGCCGCTCACGGGTGCAGTGCACGTCTCGGTTGCCAGGCATCCTGGGGTGCAGACAGGGCCCGTATTCGACGTACTGGGCACGCAGGCCGTGAGACTGCCACCGCCAAGCTGGAGGCGGCACGTTTCGCCTGAATCGCAACCAAAGTTGGTAACAGGTACGCATAGTCGTGGAAGAATACAAAAGTCAGCAGAAGCGACGCCGACATCAGCTTCAACACAGATAAGGCTACCACTGCAAGGGCCACCAGTATCGCCACATGCGGCAGGTGTGTTGTTCGGCTCGCAGGTATTCGGGCCTTCGCCGTTGGTTGGTGCCGTGCAAGTCTCGGTGGCCAGACATCCCGGGGTACAGACCGGGCCCGTGTTCGATGTGCTAGGCACACAGGCCGTGAGACTGCCACCGCCGAGCTGGAGGCGGCACGTCTCACCTGTATCGCAACCAAAGTTGGTAATAGGAGTGCAGACTCGTGGGAGGATGCAGAAATCAGCAGAGGCGACGCCGACATCGGCCTCAACACAGATAAGACTACCGCTGCAAGGGCCGCCAGTGTCGCCGCAGTTGGCCGGCGTGATCGTATCGGGCTCGCAGGTATTAGGCCCGGTGCCGCTGACAGGCGCTGTGCAGGTCTCGCCAGAGTCGCAAGCCGGTGTGCACGTAAGTCCAGCAGGAGGGGTATCGGGTACGCATGCGGTCAGTGAGCCGCCACCGAGCTGGAGACGACATGTCTCACCTGTATCGCAGCCAAAGTTGGTGACGGGAACACAGACTCGTGGGAGGATACAAATATCAGCGGAGATGCCACCAGCATCGGCTTCAACACAGATGAGACTACCACTGCATGGGCCGCCAGTGTCGCCGCAGTTGGCCGGCGTTACCGTGTTTGGCTCGCAAGTATTAGGTCCAGTGCCGCTCACAGGCGCTGTGCAGGTCTCGCCAGAGTCGCAAGCCGGTGTGCAGGTAAGTCCGGCGGGAGGGGTATCAGGTACGCATGCCGTGAGTGAGCCGCCGCCGAGCTGTAGACGACATGTCTCACCTGTATCGCAGCCAAAGTTGATGACGGGAACACAGACTCGTGGGAGGATGCAAATGTCAGCGGAGATGCCACCAGCATCGGCTTCAACACAGATGAGTCCACCAGTGCAGGGTCCACCGGTATCGCCGCAGTTGGCCGGCGTTACCGTGTTCGGCTCGCAAGTGTTGGGCCCGGTGCCGCTGACAGGCGCTGTGCAAGTCTCAGTGGAATCACAAGCCGGTGTGCAGGTGAGGCCAACAGGAGCATTTGGCACACAGGCCGTCAGGCTACCACCTCCGAGCTGGAGACGGCATGTCTCGTCTGCGGTGCAACCAAAGTTGGTCACGGGAATACAGACTCGTGGAAGGATACAGATATCGGCAGAAATGCCACCAACGTCAGCGTCGACGCAGATCAATCCGCTCTCGCAAGGCCCACCGGTATCACCACAGTTGACTGGCGCGGTATTGGGCTCACAGGTGTTGGGTCCTGTGCCGCTGACTGGCGCTGTGCAAGTCTCGGTAGAGCCACAAGCCGGCGTACAAGTGAGGCCGACAGGAGTATTTGGCACGCATGCCGTCAGGCTGCCGCCTCCAATCTGAAGGCGACACGTCTCGCCTACATCACAACCAGTGTTGCCGATGGGGATGCACACACGCGGGAGGATACAAATATCGGCAGAGATACCACCAACGTCGGCGTCGACACAAATCAGGCCGCTATCGCAAGGTCCACCGGTATCACCGCAGTTAGCCGGCGTGTTGTTCGGCTCACAAGTGTTAGGCCCGGTGCCGCTGATAGGAGCGGTACACGTCTCGGTCGAGCCGCAAGCCGGCGTACAAGTGAGGCCGGTAGGGGTATCCGGGACACAGGCCGTCAATCCACCGCCTCCGACCTGAAGGCGACACGTCTCGCCTGCGTCACAGCCAGTATTGAGAACGGGAACGCAGAATTGTGGCAGAATGCAGACGTCAGCAGAAATGCCGCCGACGTCGACATCGACGCAGATGAGCCCACCAGTACAGGGCCCGCCAGTATCACCGCAGTTGGTCGGCTGCGTCACGGGTTGACAGGTTCCGACACCGCCGACGATAGAGTCGCACTCGAAGCCTTCAGGACAGTCTCCTTGGACCTGGCGCTTCGCCCTGGGGATGGCCACAGAGACGGTGCAGGACTGCGGCACACAGACGGTGCCGACGCAGGTGGTTCCGGTTCCGCAGGCGGGTGTGCAGGTGGCGGGCACGGTAGGTGTGCAGATTCCCGTGTTGCCGGTGGCGACAGTGCAGGTGAAGCCGTCGGGACAGTCGGCCTGGACCTGGCGCTTCATTGTGAACCTCGTCAACTCGGGGAGGGTGCAGATCTGGGGAAGACACTGGCCGGCGATGCAGGTGGTTCCTGTCGGGCAGTCTGGCGTGCAGGTGTTGGGAACCTCGGGCGTGCAAGTTCCACTGTCGCCTGTGAGAATCGTACAGACCGAGCCTTCGGGACAGGTGCCCTGGGACTGACGCTTCGCCATCTTGAGGGTAGGGGCGGGAATTGTGCACCCGAGAGGTACGCACGTCGTGCCCACACACAGGGAGCCGGCCGCACAGGTTGGGTTGCAGGTCTCTGGTGTTGTAGCAGGCAAACAGACACTGGGACCACCTCCAGCGGGAACAGTACAGACGAAGCCTTCAGGACAGTCACCCTGGCTCTGGCGCTTGTCGAAGCGACGGAACAGAGGCAGTGTGCACGTGTTTGGCACGCAGATACCGCCGACACATGTCGAACCAGCGTTGCAAGTGGGCGAACAGACGGGAGGGGTAACGACAGGAACGCAGACGCTTCCAATACAGTTGAAGCCGTTGGGACAGTCACCCTGGGTCTGTCTCTTGCTGATGTCGAGTGTGACTGTGCACGTATTCGGCACGCAGACACCGCTGACGCAGGTAGTATCACCCGTGCAAGCCGGGGTGCAAGTCTCAGGGCCCGTGAGATCTGGTACGCAGATTGTCGCGCCACCAACAGCAGCGACGCAGAGGAAGCCATCGGGACAGTTACCCTGGGATTGGCGTTTACCGAGCCGCAAGCCCACTTCGATGATGCACGTCTGCGGCACACAGGCGTTGTTGACACAAGTCTGGCCTGTGGTACAAGCGGGAGTGCAACCAGTCGGTGGCGTCAGGTCGGGGATGCAGATGGATATGCCGCCTACGCCAAGGGCGCAAACGAATCCATCGGGACAATCACCTTGTGTCTGTCTCTTGAGAAGGTTGACGCCGATGCTGATGGTGCACGTCTGAGGCACGCACTGTCCGTCGACACAGGTGAAGCCAGGGCCACAGACCGGGTTGCACACTTCAGGGCCGAGATCAGGCACACAGGCGCCAACGCCGCCAACGCCGATGACGCAGTTGAAGCCGTCAGGGCAGGTTCCTTGTGTCTGACGCTTCAAGATACCGATGCTTTCGTTGGGAATGGTGCATGTGTCAGGAACGCAGACGTTGTTGATACAGGTCGAGCCTGCAGCACAGGTCGGGTTGCAGACATCGGGATTGACGGTCGGCACACAGATGCCAGTGCCGCCAGCGCCGACAGCACAGGTAAAGCCCTCAGGACAGTCGCCCTGCTGACGCTTGTCGAGGGCGAGACCACTGACGGTGGGCAGGTTGCAGGTGGCCGGGACGCAGGTATTGGCGACACAAGTCTGGCCATTGCTGCAGGCCGGCTCACAGCCTGGGTTGGTATCGGGAATGCAGACGCCAACGCCGCCCACACCGAGGGCGCAGGTGAAGCCTTCACCGCACTCAGGGGTGCACGTGGGAGGCGTCACATCAGGGACGCAGATGCTGACACCGTTGACACCGAAGATGCAGTTGAAGCCGGTGCCGCACGCGGGGTTGCACTCGGGCTGCGAAATCTCAGGCACGCAGACGCTGAGTCCGCCGGCTCCGATGACACAAGTGAATCCAGTACCGCACTCGGGCGTGCATACAGGGGGCGTGACGTCGGGAATACAGATACCCACGCCGCCAGCGCCAGCCGAACAAGTAAAGCCGGTGCCGCATTCGGGAGTGCACACAGGAGGCGTGACATCGGGAACGCACACGGTGATGCCGAGCGCGCTGATAACGCACGTGAAGCCATCTCCACACTGAGGGTTGCAGACGGGTGGCACGACGACGGGAATGCAGACACTGATGCCGCCGAGGCTGATGACGCAGGTAAATCCTTCGCCACACTCAGGTGTGCAAGCAGGAGGCGTGACATCGGGTACACAGACGCCCACGCCTCCGAGACCAAGGGTGCACGTCGATCCCTCAGCACACTCGGGAGTGCAGACGGGAGGGCCGACATCGGGGACGCAAATCGAGACACCTCCAACACCAAGGGCACAGGTGAAGCCATCGCCACACTCGGGTTCGCAGGTGGGAGGCGTCACGTCCGGCACGCAGACCGAGACGCCGTTGACGCCAAGGACGCAAGTAGAGCCCTCTGCGCACTCGGGGTTGCACGTGGGCGGTTGGTCAGGCACACAAACGCCGATGATGCAGGTCGAACCAGCAGGACACCCGTTGGGACAGGTAGGGAGCACGATAGGCACGCATGCGCCGTTGAGACACGTCTCGGGCGCAACGCAAGCAGGCTCGCACTCGTTCGTGACGGGCACACAGACACCGAGAACACAGGTCGCACCAGCTTCGCAAGCTGGCTCACAGACGCCAGGTCCTGTCGGCGGCACACAGACGCCGTTGACGCAGGTATCGGTTCCAGTGCAGGCCGGTGTGCACGTGGGGTTCGCGGGAACACAGACGCCGAGGACACATGTGTCGGTCCCAGTACAAGCTGGGTCGCATAAGCCAGGGTTGGGCAGGACGATGCAAACACCCTCGACGCATTGCTCTCCGCTGTCGCACTCGGAATCATTCGTGCAGGTGTCGGGAGGATTCGGCACACACACGGGGCCATTGGGACCCATGGCACAGGTCGTACCGGGCGGGCAGGATCCCGTCTGGCGACGACCGACAGCCGCCGCCGGGTCGATATTGCAGGTGGGCGGATCGATGATGGGCAGACACGTATCCTCGGGTCCGCAGACGAAGCCGGGTCCGCACACGGGATTGCATCCGGATGGTGGAGTCACCGGCACACAAACGCCGTTAGCGCACAGCTCACCGGAGCCGCAGGGTGGGTCGCACACGGGGCCGGTAGTGGGGACGCAGACGCCGTTGACGCACGTGTCAGTTCCGGTGCACGCCGGATCGCATGTGACGGGGCCGACCGGCGGCACACACGCGCCGTTGATGCAGGTATCGAGGCCAGTGCAGGCTGGGGTGCAGGTATCAACAGGAGGGACGCAGACGCCGTTGACACAAGAGTCGTCTCCTGTGCATGCTGGATCGCAGGTGCCGGGAGGGTTGGTTGATGGAACGCAGACGCCATTCAGGCAAACCTCATCAGAGTCGCAGGCGGGAGTGCAAGTGACAGGTCCGACAACGGGAACACACTGACCGTTGACGCAGACGGACCCAGGTGCACAGGTGGGATTGCAGACAGGGCCAACAGGGGGGACGCAGACGCCGTTGAGACATGTAGCGCCGCCAGTGCAAGCAGGGTCGCACGTCTCGGGTCCGACGAGCGGCACGCAGACACCGTTGACGCAGGTCGAGCCAGGAGGACACGAAGGTTCGCACGTCACAGGACCCACGACGGGAACGCACTGGCCGTCAACACACTGGGAGCCGGGCTCGCAAGCCGGATCACAGGTGACAGGTCCCACGACAGGAACACAGACACCATTAATGCATGTGTCGGTACCGGAGCAGGCAGGGTTGCAAGCAGGGCCGGCATCAGGGACACAGACACCATTAATGCACGTGTCGTCGCTGTCGCAAGGCGGGAAGCAGACGTTGGGGCCAACAATGGGCACGCACACGCCATTGGCGCACGTCGAGAGCGGACCGCAAGCAGGGCTGCAGCCGGGTCCCACAGGGGGAATGCAGACGCCGTTGAGGCAGCTATCGTCGCCTTCGCAAGCGGGATCGCATCCACCAGGCTGGGTGAGCGGGACGCAGGCGCCGTCAACGCATTTTTCGTCCTTTGCGCAGGTGGGGTTGCAGACACCGGGTTCGCCGTCGCCTCCTCCTCCTCCTCCGGGGACGCAAGTATCTTTGAGGCAGACGAAAGAAGGAGGACAAGCTCCGTAGGAGCCACAGCTGCCAGGATTGCCGGGTGTCAGGTCAACACAGACGGCGCCGCCAATGCAGACCTCGTTGGGTCCACAAACGGTGTCGCCGCAAGGACAGTCAAAGACGTAGTCGCCGTCAGGTCCACCGCCGGGCTGGCCAATGTAAACGGGACGACAGCTGTCGCGGTAGCAGAATTCGCCGTTTGAGCAGCCACTGCCGCATCCCTCGAATTCGCTGCCGCCGCCCAGCGGCAGGCATGTGTTGCCGCAGCAGAAAGAGTTGGGACCGCACGACTTGTCGCCGCAGCTCGAGGGGCGGCCAAAGTTATACCACTGTCCGTTGTGTTGCACGCTTCCGTAACCAGCATCGGGGAACCAACCGCCGTACTGTGCGGATCCCTTGACCGTGCCGGAGCTAGAGCTGCCAGAACCTGAGCTAGATCCCGAAGACGATCCGGACCCAGACCCAGACCCAGGGCCGCCTTGTGGCTGACAAGTCTTGGGTAGGTCGCCAAAGCAGACACCCGAGACGGAGACCTGGCCCTCAGGACAACTGCCAGGGTAGGTGCTGATGTGCATGGGAACAATATCGGACTCCCAGCAGAATGTACCGGGGTGCAGATCTTCTTTCTTGCACTTGTCGAGCGGCTGGCCGACGGCAACATCGTGGCACCCGCCGTCGACACACAGCTGGCCTGGCTCGCAGGTGGCAGCGTCAACGCCGCAGTGGTAGGGGTCGGTGCCGACAATAATAGTGGATGAGCCGAGGGTGATGGGGGTGCAGACGCCATTGTCGCAGTAGTTACCGGGATCGCAGGCTTTGGTCTTGTCCTTGCCAGGTCCGCAGACGTACGGGTCTTCGGTGAGGTCGAGAGGGATGGCAATGCCGTTGACGCAGACTTCGCCGGGAGCGAGTTCGACGGGCGTGATATCGCCGCAATGCAGCGGGTCGAGGATGATCTGAATGGGCTCGCATTTGCCTTCGTCACACCATTGGCCCGGCTCACAGCCGTCGAGGCACGATTCGAGAGCGTCGCCAAAGGTAAGGGGCTGACATGTGCCGTTGACGGCGAGCTCGGCCGCCTTGCAGCCGTGTTCCTTGGGGTTCAAGGAGATAACTGACCAGCAGGGTTCGTGTTGGGCGCCGCGGGCAACCAGGCCGGCGGCGGAGGGGGAGTCGATGGAGGAGGAGCGAGTGACGCGGCGCATGCTGGAGGCGCCCGTGATGCTGGCCTGGCTGGCGAGCAGAGCAAAGGCTGCCAGGCTCAGCCGATCAATGTAATTTGTCATCATAATGTCGACTGTTGTTGTTAGTAGTGGGATCTCAGATCATGATCGTGCTGATGATGAGATGGATGAGATGAGCGAGTAACGAAAAAGGCCAAGAGAAGAGGACAGGAATGATTTATACTTAATATTGATTCGATAGCATGGAATCCAAAGTCATAGATACTGATATGGTTTGTCGGAAAGGGGCTGAGGCGGATCCCAGGGTTCGAGACTGGGATTCAGCAGGACCCAAGCCCCGGGTCGCTATGTCGCTCACCTCGACGCTTTCGTAGATTCCTCTGCTGTGACGAACGGTATGATGTGGTACCCATACGAGGTCCAGGGATATTCTCATTCCATCTGCCGCGTCGTGTCGATTCCAAAGGATCACCCATCATCAGCTCCACGGCCTGCTCAGCCGCAGCCCTAGGGTTCCTTAGGGTCTGGGCTTCACGACCACGAGGCTCCAAGAGAAGCACGGTTGCGGACATGCTCATGGCCTAGGATAGGTCAGACATTCTCAAAGCTCTGGACTTGTCTAACATGCTTGGAGCTATGGTGCAGGCCGCTGGGTGGCAACGCTGTCACGCAGGGCGTGATATGTCCTCGGTGGGGCACGAACGAGTTAGCTTGAGATCCAATATCATGGCCTAAAACAAATGACACGAGGAGACTAGCCAAAACTTTACCGCCCGTGTATATGCTTCCTGTGCCTGTGTTGTGGATCGTGTGGAGGGTGCCACAATACCAGCCTAGGGCAGGGAGCATGGGAGCCGCTATCAGCAAGGAACACGACGCGGAGGATGTTTTTCACTTTCGTCACAAAAGCTCAAGCGAGAAAGTGACGCACGGCTTGGTCTTGAGGCCCTGGCCTTGGCAGCATCATGCTGGGGTGCACTGGTGAGTGGTCGGCCAAGATTCTTCATAGACGAGCTTCTAAACCTATTCGCACCATATCCTGGCCTTCACTTCCACCTCTTGAGATGTCAACTTCATTTGTTTTCATCCACCACGTGTAGCTCACCGTCAACGTGCCTACCATGCATGCACCAAGCTGGAAGTCGACCGTCTGTCTTGACCAAGTACGTCGCGAAAGCTCCTTCATTCGAGGTCTCAAACAGCCAAACCCCTGCATTCCACCGTAGATCAGATCACTACAGAAAAAGCGCCGCCCACACTCTGCACCTCGTACCTTGCAGGCTAAGACGCCACATGCCACTCCTCATGGCTCGCTGATCCCGTCGCATCCGCACATCCGCTGGCTCCTCAGCTCGTGCGGCCCCCCAACGGAAGAGCGTTACACAAGGACCGAGTCTGACGCTTGCGGCTCGACCTCGTCGCCGCCGCACAGTAGCCACGCTAGCCACACGATACTCATGATTGTGACAAGGTCATTCTTCTCCTAATGGGATGCTCCTTTGCAAAGCGAAGCAAAGTGCATTTCTGGCTAACGTCCACTTATTCGCTCGACAAGGGAGGATCGACAGTATACTGCCAAAAGGAGTATGGCGCCATCTCGACTAGGAGAATGCAGTCCGATCAGGAAGGGAGCTAGGCGGGGTTGGCTCCCCTTGCTAGTCGACCTGTCATCCAGCTAGACTCGCACAAAGACGAGGTGGGTAGGCCTCCCGTCGCGATCAGTCCACAGCTCGCAGGGCTAGATCCATCGGCAAAGGGAAGCCGAAGCCTCCAATGCCTTGGAGGGGACCTTGTCCGAGACATTTCACTCGTGGCTGAGATGCCAAGCATCCCTCATGCAAGCGGCCACAGCGAGCACTCCCCCCCTGAGAAGGGCATGACGACCAGACTCCTCAGCTTTTCTGCCCGTCCCCCTCTTTTCCTAGAGAACCACTGCCCGAAGCCCGAGACAGACGGCGGGCCAAGATGGAGGCGTGGTTTAGTCATCGCTAAAGCTGGCCTGTTCCGGCTACCTGCGAGGCGCGGCACCAGACGCACGCCGAGACGCCAGGCTTCTGGGGGTTTCGTGTTTGCGGATGAATGATCTCATTCTACAGGGTTGTTATTTTCAAAAAGTCGACAGGGCACAAACACCAGATCCTGATGCGATCAGATCATCCCGTCGGGGGTTACAATCCGAGCGGCATAGGCTGGGGAGAACATGGACTAGGCCTAATTGGATGCCTCCTCATTCCCGATTCGTCCTGCTCCTGTGTAAATTCTTCACAATCAGACAAGACAATCCCTGTGCACTTTGTTGCAGTACAAGGGAGAGCCCACCTAGCACCACTTGTCAACACACCACATTGTTCGGGAAGAAGAAAAAGAGGGGGCCGATTAGCAGTGATGGGGGGAGAAGGCTGTGATCGAGCAAGGACTGAATTGTCTAGCCCTGGTCTCCTCGCATTCCCCTGCCGCTGTCACCTCGAGTCTCACAATCCAGACCCCTCATGCGGTCTTGCTAGAGCGAGTGCCGCGAGTCAACCAGGCCATCCATGGCCTGCGCAGTTGAGACAACCACACCAAGCCACGAAATATCTGATCAACGCCACAAACTTGTCCATCCCCCCTTCAGACGCGATGATGTTTTATGGTTTTTGGGGACGAGTGCCGGAGATAGGGAACCCTTTGCCATTCAACTTTGTTTGGCCTCACCAAATGTGGACGTTCCTGGCCCAGCAGGGCATACCTCCTCAGACGCCCTAGAAAAGAGTGCGCAAGCCTTAGACACCACTTTTTAAAACACTAGTAGACGGTCGTAGAAAAAGGCCAAGCCGGGAGATCATCAGCAACGCGTTCCCCCCGAAGCGCCGCTGATCTGACTGTTCGCGCGGGGGGTTGGGGCTGCCCGCAGGAAAAGGCGAGCCGATGCCAAGAGCTTGACAGCTCGGTTGGGGAGGAGCGAGCAGTCCGGTGCAGAAGAAACGTGATGGCATTGATGTTTGCGGCTTCGGTTGCGGCGTGGTTCAGGCGTCCAAGCTTGCAAAGCCTAGGAGGCTGGCAGCTCAAGATTGGAGCTTGGGGCTTGGGTGCTGGAGCTTGGAGCTTGGAGCTGTCGAGATGATAGATAGCGCGTCTGAGCGGGTAGCCAAAGGTCGGCGGTCCGAGACAGGGGGTCACGAGGCGTAGCAGACGGCGGTGGTCGCTCGGGAACTCACTCAGCCGTGTTCCTAGCGACTATCATTGACCTGACACTAGTAACGGGCAAAGTACTCTGACGCTTTTGTTTCCATCTGGCGTCTGCTACGACACGGCACTGGCGACTCTGAGCGTTGTGACACCCGTTACGCACGCCAATAGTGTCGTGGGACAACCGCAAACATCACAACATTGAGTTGCTGTGCTGCAGCTGAGAAGTGTCCCACACGTAGGTCCCAGGATCCTCATCACAATCTTAGTACAGCATTATGTTTACGTTTCGGTTAGTCTAGGCGTTGAGATTTGCAGACCTCGTGTTGCCATACTTCCTAGTATGGCTCAACCGTGATCTCAAGCTGGACATTTAACCACGTAAGCGAGGCACAGCGGGCAATGTCTGACCAACACCCCCTTTTCGTCGCAGCCCATGGCCGTTTGCATCTCTTCTTGGCAGGGCGCGCTTTGGTGAGGGTGATGAGATCGTTGAGCGAAGGTAACACGTCACGAGTAAGAAGCGCGTCTTACCGATGGTCACCTGAAAAGTGTGGTCTCAAGCTATCTCAGCAGAATTACCTGGTCTAGTCAGCTGGCGGTCTTGGCCTCCTTCAAATTGGCTGGGGATAACTGAGTTTTCACAGCAAACCTTCGATTCACCTCTTCCCGTTTGCTCCTTGCTAGCCATCCTGCTTCCTGGTCCGCGGACGAGTGGCTTCTTCCGTTTACCGGCAGTTCACAGTATGCGTAGCCCAACGTGTTCCGCTATCTTGAGACACACGCAAGCTTGTGATACTGAATACAAGGTGAGTTTCGGAGAGTCAGGGGCCGTAACGGTGATTGTTCAAAACCGGCGCCTCTTGGCTGACGCACGCACTTTTGAGTTTTTTATCTTTCAGCCGTGGCTTACTGGAGAGAAATTGCGATCTAGATTATAAGAGAAGTCGAGAATGAGGAACCAACGACAGTGGAATACAGTATGTGTCATAGATAGCATGAGGTTAGGAGAAGTACCACACTGCCAAGCATCATGTGACAAGTGGAGGCTCCGTCAACGTCTGCTCTGTCTAGACTGGCCGGAGAGGCCCTCTCGATAAAGCGTAAATGCTGGAAAGCTAAAATCCTTCATCCGGAAAAGCACTCTCTGTGTATCTATCAGACATCCAGGGAAGCCAATCCGGGGTCCCGTGGGGTGCACGATTTTATCGTCATGCCCCGCCATTCTGTACACATGCATGCCATTCCTTTGAGCCACAGTGTGAGACTCCGTATGAAATGACAAAACAATTGAAGAATCTGTGCATCATTAACTTTCATGACTTCATGTGCCAGGTAACCATGGCTGGCGGCACTAAATAGCTTTATCAATCCGACAAAGCGCATTCTCGGAGAGGCAAGTCGCCAGGCCGATGTCGCTTTGCATAGCTCGGGCACCACTGTTGGAAGCCGATGTGATATCTGTGCTCAGGATCCTAAATCTTTTGTTGTCCGTCACAGTGGTTTCTATAGCGTTGAGCCTTGCGGTCCCAGGCCCATCAGCTCTCATTGCGAAGCATCTGACTCTTGGTGCCCTGCCAAGGTTGTAACATAGCCAGTGGCTGGGTGCGACAGCATGCGGGATACTAACTGATAATGAGGCTGAAAATTCTGTCACCATAGAGAAGTCATCCCATGTCAAAGCCTCTGCGAGTAATAGTCCGGCTTTGTTCGACAGCTCTCGTTCTGCGTTGTAGCCTGCCATAACCTGTCCACCCGACGCAACTTCGAATTGTATTGGCGGAATCTGCGCACAAAGGGATGGTGAAACTGACAGCTACACATGATACACCTCCGGTCTGAAAGCGGGATTATAATGGATTTGTCCTGTTGTTCTTCTGCCCAATGGTATTGTTGATCTGATGGGATTTTGGTCCCCATATCCGGGTCCAACATGGGGAGGCCTGGGCGATTGCATGAGCAAACTTAATTGACGACATGGAATCGAATCCAACGTAATGAGTTGGATATTGATGATTCATTTTGAGACGAGGAGGACGGCAGTCAGCGGGATAGGGCTCTTATTGCGATGGGACCTGTTAGAAAGCATAGTATTCTGGGAATGGAAAAATGAAGGTTGTTTGATCTACGCGATCTAGAACAAAAGTTTTTATGCCCTAAAGGAGTAAATCAATGTCCAAATACAATTCTCTTTTTCTTAAATAAAATTTCCGGGAACGGAAGCAGTCCGCGATGGTACTTCAACTTGCTGCCGATGTCCCTCGGTGTAGAATCGTTATTTTACTACGCACGTTTCTAATCTTTCCAAAAGAAAAAAAAAACAAAAAAACGCATGAATCCTCACGACATTTAAGAAGCGATTACTATGTACTCAGCTACTAATAGCCATGTCTCTGCGCCTGTCGCTCATCTTCGGCCATGACGCTCATGGGCTCTCTCCGAATCCGGCCACCTCTTCCTCTGCCTACACGATCCGGGTCTCGGCATGCTACGCTGCTATAACTCTCCTTTCGGCTAAAAGCTCGGCCCTCGGGCCCTTGATCGGTGTGAAACTCGGGCTGACGATTGGAGAGTAATACGGAAGCAGGATCCATTTTCAAGTCGACGGGCGCAAATCAAGGACTCCCATACGCATTAACTCCTTTCTGCTTTGAATGGGCGATGCATCTGCACCAATGAACCCACGTTCAGCAACGCGTATCCATGAACATGGCATGAGCACCAAAATGGAATGGCACGCCGCCAGGCCGTTTCGGGACCGAATCACGGGATCAAATCGCAACATTCGCGGCGTTTAAGGCGAGCCGACAGGCCCCGCATGTTGACCAATCTTGTCTTGGTCCTGGCAGCGTGTCAGAGAGACCTATTTGCCGAAATCCTTACTGCCGATTGTTGGTCGGAGATGCTTTCTGTCCAGGGACCTCACCAAGGCACGATGCGCTCCCGCCCTGTTGAAGCTTGAGCCCAGGAGCTGCATGATCTGTCGCAAACGCAAGGCGCGCATGCTACTTGTCCTGCTTCGTTGCTTCGCGTCTTAGTCATGCTGAACTGACTGACACTTTGATTGCGCTGGCAGGTCAAATGCGACCGCCGGACGCCGCGCTCATGCCGTACATGCGCCAAGTTCGGCGCAGAGTGCGCCTACACAGCCGCCGAGGCCCCAGACACGCAGAGTGACGTTACCAGCTCTACAATCAGCTGGCAATGCCACGGCCATTGGAATGACCAAGGCGGGCCTCGCGCGACGCTGCACGCCGCGGTCCTCTGTCGAGTACCAGCGCACCAAAGCCAAGTGCTCCGGTAACATCCTCTGCGACCAATGCCGTCGAAAGGGCCTGTCCACGTCGCGCCCTGATCGATGCCTCGCTGCCAGCGTGGCTGCTATCGCGTACCCTACCGTCGGTCTATCGCGTGCGTGAGCTGCTGGACACGCATCTTTCGCGCGTGCACACTGTTCGGTGCCTCAGGTCCCTTCATATCCCGACCTTCATGGAGCACTGGCGAGACCAAGACGACGGCGCTGAAATAGGCTAGGACCTGTCTGGCCTCATCCACATCATGTGTGCTCTCGACGCGCCCTTCTACTACGCCCAAACCGCCGCTGCCTCGTCCCCATTTTCTTGATGGAAGATGTCCTTGAGCCGAGGACGCGCTCCCACGAAGCGGGACGCGGCTAGGCAGCGACCGCCATGGAATGCATGTTTGCCAACTTGGGCAGACCCACGGTCGAGTGCCTTATAGCTGCCGTACTACTGCACGCGCAGCACCTGCGTCTCGGCGACCATGCCAGAGCGCTTCTCGTGTCAGGCCTGGTGGCGCGGCACGTCCAGACTCTGCAACTCAACGTCGAACACGACGACGATGTGCTGTGCGAAGGGCCTGGTGCCATCCCATGGGCCGTCAAGGAGAGTCGCCGGCGGCTGTTCTGGGCGTGCTATCTGCAGGATGTCTTTATCGAGTGCGGCATCGCCCAGCTGCGCTTCATATCCCCCGATAACTTCCGAGTTACTATATTGTACCCATCAACTGGGAAGGGCTTAGGCCTCGTTACCTATACCTAGAGTAGCCTATTAGCAGGGGATTCTTTGTACACTTGCATTTCGTATCGACCCACGACGTAGATCGGCCAGTCGGGAATCCTCGAGGCCAGGGCCCCGTCAAGCGGTGGTCGAATTATGCTCTAGCAGATGTGCATATGTGCACATGAGTTCCTTGTCGAGATAAGAAGGCGGACGACTCACTTGACAGTGGCGGTATACTTACCGAAGACCCTCAGTCATATTTGGAGAAGAACTCCTTGGTCGTGTAGCTGATGAGCGTGCAAGTCTTGCCGAAAGCGCCGTCACCGACGACGACGCACCTCAGAGATAGAGACTTAGCAAGACATGTTCGGCGCATTTAGTTTGTGCCAAGTCGAAGAGGAAATGGAGTGCTCGCCATCTGATGCTTCATCGGCCAGAAAAGGAAATAGCGCAATGCGCGCGGCAAAGTGAGGGGAAGCGAGAAGCGCGCGACAGGCCATAAAGGCAAAAAGCTCACAGACTTGATGGTTGCGGCGACCATTGCTTGGTGACGCTAAGAGACAGGCCGGAATCAGGGGTTTGCGAAAGCGACCAAGATAGCATGCAGCAAGATTACCCCTTCCCCTGTCGCGGCGGTCGCAGGCGCAGATGAATTGTCGACGGGAAACCTTGGAGCGGTTCGGTGAGGCAGTCGGTAGAAGGTGGCAGCGGCCGTGGCAGTGGATCGTTGTGAAGGCATACCGAGCAACTACATAAACAATGCGTCCTTGATCTTGCGGAACTGGATGTCAACTCTTCTGACATTGCCAAGGCCCTTCCTGGACCAGATTCTGTATAATCAATTCGGGGGTCATCACTCCAGACTTAACACTAATTTCAGAATCGCTCGATGCTGTCCGAGTGAAATTGCGGGCTGCATGTTCCACGAGTAGGTGGTTGAGGTATGCTTCCTCTTTCAATATATTGTGTCGTTTCGCCACGCAATCGCATGCCTGCTGATCGGTCGGACGTAACGTATTTATCTGATTCCTTTAGGTTCTCTCTCAAAGCTAGGGAAGAGGCTTTGCACCCAGATTTTCTCTAATTGTAATTTCTGGTTGTTTTCGGGCATAGCCATAGTGCCAGTCTTCCCTTGCTAGATCTTGCCTGATCAGATAATTTCTTTCTGCGATATCCACCACGCGCATGCCTTCTTTTCCATCCGTGAAACTGCCAGGTACCTTTCCAACAATCGGTCAATGACTTGACTACATCCGAAGAAGCCTTCCTCGGAAGCCCCGGCGGCGTTGTAGTAAATGATGGCGGTAGTACTCTCGAATGCCCGCGTGACTAGGGCACTTTGTACGAACATCCTCTCGCAATCCGCATTGTACGCTAACCCTTCCTCAATCATGTCGCGAAGCGTCCAGTAAGATGGGATGATGATGATTTTAGCGCCCGCGAGGACAAGCTGCCCGAATGCCTCGGGGAAGGCCACGTCCCAGCAGACCAGAATGCCGATCGGTCCCAAAGGAGTGTTTATTACCTTGTAGATAGCTTCAAAGGTTCTCTCTGGCCTCATGTGCCTGATGTATTCAGTGAATGAAGTTAGGTGGTGCCCTTCTGGGATCCAAAGGTTAGTCTTGGTGTAGCTGTAGCTACGTAGCAGGCGGCCGTGGTGGTCGATGAAAAAGGACGCATTGAGCAAAGTCGGGTGCGGGGTCCCCAGTCCTTTCAGCTTTGAGGACCGCTTCCTTAGGAGCCTTCGTCACGACTGTGCCCGCGCAGATATTGATGTGAAGCTCTGCCGCAAGATCTTCATATCGTTTCAGATACATTCGGATGACTTCCGCCGTCAGAGCAAATCCAGGTGCATTCGGAGCCCATCCTGTGAGATGCTACTCTGGTAAAACGGCAACTGCGACGCATCGAGCTGCAGCGCGACGAATCTTCATAGAAGCTCGAAGAAAATTTGACTCCGGTGCGGCCGGATGGGACACAGATATTCGAACCGCAGGGTTAAGCTGACTCAATTGTGGGATCTTGTAGTCAAACAACGAGGTCAACTCTTCCCCCACCGTAATACAGGACATAGCCCGCAGTCACGAACCAGAGCACAAGTCTGGCATCTCACGCACAAACAGACTCGCAACACGTATTCACATTTATTCAACCCACCAGCTCGCCAATCCTGTCGGCACTATCCGGTAGCAACAGCGTGATCAAATGGTACAGTTGATTCACGAACTCTTTCCGCATGATCACACCGCTAATGCCTTTCTGGCACACCTACTACAGACGGCTTCTCCCGGATGCTACTACTACGAAGCCTTCCCGAACAGCAACATCGCCTCCGCCTCCATCCTCGTGTCACCCCCCCACCCGTCCGGCGCATGATACTCCGGGTCTTCAAGCAGCGCCGGGTCCGTGATGTTTCGATAGTAGTCTGCGTAGCTCACCCCATCCACATCCCCCGGAATCGCCGGCAACCTTGCTGGGACATTGAACCCGTCGCCTTTGCATGCGAGCTCCGGGCCGCCGGCGCTCTTGATCGCACGCTCAACACACCCGTCTTTTATGATAAAGGGCAGATTGAACGCACAGTACGCCCTCCCATCGGACGTCGACGATTCTTCGTATTTCCATCCCGTGAGGGCACCGCATCCCTTCATTTCGTCGAGGATACGTTCGCCCTTTTCGCCGCCCCAGCCGTTGATTTCATAGATTCCGAAGCGCCAGAAGACGATATTGTTGCCGAATTTGCACCAAGAGGTCGGTGTCGGCGCTGGCGGCTTCACCGTCGTCGTCGCCCTGCTGGTCGTAGTAGTGGTGGGCGGAGCAAATAAAGAGGACATGCTCCGCGATACTTGGTCGAATATACTTATCATGGCCCCGGCATCGGCGAAGGTGGTCGGGAAGGGGTGGTCTGCGACCTCACCGAAGCGCAAGGTCGCCGTCTCCACTTCCTCCGGGTTGTCCGGGTCGTCCGGGTCGCGGTCGTTCGGGCCGCGGTTATTACCAAAGGCCCCGGGGGGGCAGTTGGGGCAGTTAGGGTTGCAAAAGAAGACGCCTGCGTGGTTAGGGTGTTAGATGGAAGGGGAAAAGGGAGAGGAAGAAGGCTTCATGTTGGGTATGTGGGAGCTTACAGGTCGTGCCGCATCCTGGACATCCCGGGAAAGCGACAGGAACCGGGACGGGACCCTCCACCCAAGCCGGCTCGATGTCGTTGATGACGGGATCAACATGCCCCGGAGTGGGAGTGGTCATAGGATGCGGGTTCGGTGTGAGGGTGACAACGGCTGGGGGCAAGGTTGTACCGCCGATGATGGTTGTCGAACCACCGAGGGTCCACGTCTCGACGGGCGGGGTGTACGTGACGGTGCCCCAGATGATGATTTGCGTCGAGCTGGTCTCTGTCTTGGTGGCCCCAATGATGGAAGTCTTACCATCGATGACACTGTTTTCATATAGGCATGGATGGTTAGCCGGACAAAATTAGGATATGGTAAGCTTGTCGAACACCTACGGAGTGATGGTGATTGTAAAGGGCGGCGGCTGAACGGAGCTTGTCAAGATGATGGGGCCGTCTGTGGAACCCGAAGAGATGGAAACGCCCCAGACCGGGATCTCGGTTGTGACCACAGGTGGGATGGTGATAACGGTCTGGAACGTCACATATACATAGCCTGGATATGTGGTCACGTCACCGTTGGGCCGCGTGCTGGTTCCGGTCGTCAGACTGGAGTACGTCACCACCGTGGTCCAAGGAGCGAATGAGATGGTGGTCGGCGTCGCGAGAGGCTTCGGCGGCCAGATGAGCGTCACGCCCGGCGACCCGGTCACGACAGGCTTCACCGAGTCCCAGATAGCAGGGTCGATGTAGACGTTGTCGCCACTGCTGGACCCGCTGCCGCCGCTACCGCTGTTCTCGGACTGCAGATCCACGGCCCAGTCGGCAGTACCGAGGAAGTTCAGCGCCGGGTAGAGGGACTTGCGCATGGCTTTGTTCTCCTTGTCCATGTAGGCGACCCACTGATCCGAGTCCCAGACGACAATGTTGGAGTACGACGACTGGTCCAAGAGCTTCTTCGCCGATGGGTTTGTGCGGATGATTTCCTCAATCTCGTAGTCGGAGATGTAGCCGGCCGTCTCGGTGCAACGACCCTTCATGGCGCCCGACTCGGGTCCTGTGAAGGTGCACTGCTCGGTCCAGCAGCCCGGCGTGGTCATCTGAAAGGACCGACCGTAACTGCTGACACCGACGGCAATCATGTTGGACGGCACACCCGCCTTAGTGATCATGGACAAGGAATTGATCGTTTCGGTTAGGTTGACGTGGGACCGGAGGCAGTTGCCGAGGCCCTGGTCGATGGAGCCGCAGCCAGGCGAGCCGTGCTTGTTGCCATAATCCCACTGGCCATGCAGGTCGTACGTCATGAAGACAAAGTAGTGCGAGGTGAGAGTGTACGCCTGGAGGGGAAATTGCTTCAGGTACCAGTACGATCCAGGAACGGTGACCGACTGGGTCTTGCCGGCGGGTAGCCTCTGCTTGAGGTCCGAGAGCAGCAGGAAGAAGCCGGTGGTGTCCGTCTCCGTACCGGGCGGGATACCGGGAATGTCGGGAGCGGCCGGATACTCCCAGTCCCAGTCGACACCGTCGAGGTTGTAATCGTTGAGGAACTTGATGACGCTGTCGGCGAGCGTCTTGCGGTTCGCCTGTGTGGCCACGGCGTCGCGGAAGATCTTGTAGGTCGCGGGCTCGGTGGAGAAGGCCCAGCCGCCGATGGACATGATCTTCTTGATGCCGGTCATGGACATGAAGAGCGACAGCTGAGAGGCCACATCCTTTGTGCTGAGGGTGAAGTCGGGGTTGATGGTGATGAAGGAATAGTGAACGTGGGTATAGACCGAGGTGTCGATCTGGTTGACCGCCATGCGAAGACAGGGGCGGCCCCAGTTCCATGCCTCAAAGTAGGCAATGTGGAACTCGGAAGCCGCCGGGCCGGAGTTGACGATCTGGGTGCCGCAGTTGGAGATGCAGCCGTTCTCGCCCGGTGCTGACGTGCCGGGGGCCCCGGTGGTCGACTTTGACGGCGTACAAAAGTCGCTCGTCGTGCCGCACTGTCCCCAGATATTGCAGCACGCGTTCAGAGGACACGGGTTCAGGGTGCTCAGGTCGGTGCCCGGCGGCGCCCTCGCCGTGTCGTTGACTTGGGGCCCGCAGACGGCATTGGGAATGTTCATCGGCATGGGCGGGTGGCCAGTACTAAGACAGATGTAGTAGTCGGCAAACATGACCCTGCAGCCGTTCCAGCCCCACGTCTTCTTGTTAAATCCTTCAATCTTCTCATTGGTCAGACCGTACTCGGCCGAAAGTGCAGCGCAGTTGTCTCCCTGCTTGACCAGATGCTTGTGGCAGTACCCGTCAGCGTCGGGCTTCGGGGAGAAGTCTGGCAGAGTACCCAAGCTACAGCAGACATGTTCACCAGGCTGCAGGGCGCAGGGGTCTGGTTTGTGGCTGTTGTAACGCATGAACTGCGTCCGCGAGATCCCGCATTGGGCTGCCAGGGTAGCGCAAATGTCTCCGCCTTCAACCTGGATGTATCTGCACTCGGCCCGGGGCGAGAGCAGCGTCTTGGGACTGTCCCGGGCAACTTTCTTCACGCTGGTCGAGTTGCCGCTCAGCGTCGAGTTGTCGGCCTCGGTGCTGTTGGTGATGGGAGGTGCCCGGAAGCTGACCGACGTCCACGCGGCGGCTCGGGCACTAGACATCTCCCGCGTCGTCTTGACGCAGGAGCTGTTCTTCCATATCTGAATGCTCTCTTGGACGGTGCCGATGCTGCGCTTGGTGTTGATGTGGACGCCGAGCGAGTAGCGCGCCGATGCATCGGACTCGCTGCACAGCTGGACGACGACATCTTCTGCCACGCTGCCGGCCCCTATGATGTGGGTGCGGACCTTTTCCAACACATCTTCGAGCACGCCCTGGCCAGCGAGGCCCGTGCCGGAGTACACGCCCACGGAGACGTCGCGGAGATAGGCGTATTTGATCGTCTCCTCGCAGCTGTCCCCAGCCAAAGCCGCGAAGCTGCGCAGCTGCTCCAGAGCCTCGGCCACGGTATCCGCGTGGACCGAAGAGGAAGAGCCCGAGGGTGTGATGTCCAGCGAGCCCTGTTGTTCAAGCTGTTCCGCGTCTTCGTTGGCGCAGGCGTCTTTGGCGGAGCTGGTGGAAGTGGTTCTGCCATCGCCGGACAAGTCCGCCGTGCAGGCAGAAATGGCGACGTGGGCTCTGGGAACGTCGACTGGGTTGGAAAGTGCGAATTCCAAGAGCGTGGTCTTGTTGCAAGCCTGGTCCAGCCGTCTGAAGCTCCCGTAGACGAACCAGGAGCTGGCGTTGGTCCCGACAAGACTGCAGCCTGAAGGACATTCATCCCTGACTGGCATGTGGAGGTTCGACGTGTAGTTTCCAGCCAGGATTGCTGTCTCGGCATCTGCCAGGTCTGTTGGCATGCCATTGACGGGGCCCGTCGCGCTGCTGACGACGATGCCTGCCAGAACCTCATTGACGGTATCATCTCTTTTCTGGTTTGCGTTGTCGTGTGGGTTGTGTAATTGATAAGCCTCGGTGACCCTGGCGACTGCCAGAGTGATGGCAGCGGCAGAGATCGAGAGTCTCATGATGATGGGCCTGGGGAGCAAAAGAGAAAGAGCATCAGGGTTCGGCCCGTGGAAGTGGAAGTGGAAGTGGCAGTGGTAGTGTCCGTGGTCTCGAACAAAGGGCAGGCGAGATGGACGTCAGGCATGAGATAGATAAGTACCGTGACCTGAAAAGAGGGATGGGGGATGCCGAGGGACCCTGAACTCGAAGTGGGCAAGAGGGGTCTGCACAGAGAAGGTTCTTCTTCTCGGTTCTGACCGTTGGCCCGGCTATAGTTCTGCATCTGGCTGGCCTCACTTGTGCAAATGATGCCACCGGGGGAAGTCTCGCGATGCCCGAAGTCTGAACCGGGCCCGTCTCGCATATTCCCAGAACATGACATGGGCCGAAGTTCCATAGACCAACAGGTCTCGTTGCCAGCTACTGTTACGTCGCCGTCGGCGGTGGGGCCTGTACTGCTCAGACATGCGCGGGACGACCGACCAACTGCATAATGGACTCCGGACCCTTGCAGCCCATGCACCTGCGCGCATGTATTGACCTACTGCGTGTGATGTACTCTTTCGAAAACCCGTATCGAGGTTCGTGTGTCGTTGCGGTCAATAATATTTCGCACCCTCCTAATCCCTGTTAATCCCTCTTGCTTCGCCCCCCCACAGCCTCCCCATTGAAGTAGGTCCATCTGCGCAGGAAATTACTGTACGGTTGGTGCAACTATAGAAACCATCTCTGACCAACAAGTATGCAACTACGCGATTTACCCTCAATTGCAGCTCACGGGATCTTGACCTTGGCGGGTGCGAGCACATGTGTCAAATTTGGTCAACCGGCCCCGATCCCAGAGATACCAGGCCCCAGGTCGCCTTGACTATCGAGCAAGATAGGGGAGCATGTATGTACAGTGCCGGGCTCACCTCAAGTCTAGACTTGAGACACAGGACGGCCCCCCTTAGCAAATTCAGACGACTCTTCGACATGCACTGGGAACAGGATCTGATGATTTGGACATTTATTGGCACAAGCGAGTACGTGTAACGTCCCAGTGCGAGCAATCCGTAAGCGACCGACATCATGACATATTGTTCTGGTAGGAAAGGGACCAAACACCCTTTTCGAACCCAAGACGTATTGGTCCCAACTGACAATGGCCTACTTCGTCTATGGCAAGCCTGCTATGGCCCGCCACCTGTCCTCATTGTGACCAAAACTCTCAGGATTCATTGGGAACGAAACTCCGTAGAGGACTCTTCTCTTACCCTCAGGAGGACTACGATACATGTGCAGTGCCTGGGCAAGGAGCACGTATGACTCTGGGTTGTGAGCCAGTTTGATCCGGCGATTTATGTCCTCCTTTACGGCTTTGGCAATGTCGGCCAAATTGTCTACGGAGACAGAAGTCAGTACGTGTGCGCGTGTAAGAAACCCGGGCAGGGAAGTCACCACCTACAATTCTCCTGGCCCTCGCCCCTTAGGGTATCATCATTATCTGTGAGATGAAAGAGCTCGTGATAAAAGGTCGAGCCCCGGGTCATCATCCTGTCCAGTGCTTTGCTAGTATCTGCAGACCCAAAGTTGGAGGGATACAGGCTCCCCACAGTCTCGGACAGAGACACCACAGAGTGGCCGCCGCCTCTGGAGGCAAAGGCGGCTGGACACAAGATCATGTGTCTGTTCGTCTTGCCCATGTTGTACTTCACCATTTTTTCTCCGTTGAAATAGTCGAAAAGGCCACTTGAGGTGGGACGTGCAACTCTACCGAGGAGCACTTTTCCGTCCGGGAGGGGCGAAGAGCATATGCTGTCTCTGCGGCTGAAGTCGTAGCCGTTGAAGGCGGGAACCCAAAACACGTTGTTGCCCCCTCTTTGCTGCGTAGAGAAGGCCCTGTCAATGGTCAGATACTCGGTCGGCAGCCCGGTGTTGTCGTCACGAGCTGTCACGATGTCTTTTCCGTTGATGTCTCGGGCAGCACGGCCGGACTCTTGCTTCTCAAAGGGGGCACCCGAGCAGAATAGCCGGGGCTTTTCGGCCGTGTTTTGGGGTTCTCGCAGGCCGCCTCCGGTCAGAAATTGAGTGACTCGACCTATGTGATCTTGTGATTGTATTGGTTAGCTATCCGACGGGTACGATGGAGCGTTTGACTACCTTTGATGGTTTCCAAGATCTGTTTGTTCACTCCCTCGACATCGTCCTCCCACCGATTCCGTTCAAAGTCCCACTGTAATCCAAAAAACATCATCCAGTGAGCGATGTAGGATCCCATATTTCCGTTGTCGGCGTGCCTCAAGGCATGAACGAGTCCAGTGTGAAGAGTGGCAGCCTCTTGCACCCAAGTATCGAGTGTGTCAATGTGATTGTCACAAAGGCTCTTATCATCAATGAGGAAGAGATCTCTGATGCCACCTACGCCACCCGGGCCGCTCGATCCGGCGACTCGTATCCCTCTGTGATGCAGCACGTGCGTGATGTCCTCGGTGAAGTTGGCCAGGCACGGTAACACGAGACACCATGCTGTAACAAAGATGAACGAAGGCAGGAGCATGTTGAGACGGTGCCAGGAGAAATCAGGTTGGCTGAAAGATGAGAACGCGGGGGGGATGAGCTGCGGCCTGGATGAGTGTTATGTCCTCACAATACACATTAGGAGCGCATCCAAATCGAGCGTTCCTAATAAATAATCCAGGTGGAATATGAATGGTAGACACTGGATGGAATTTATCATCGTTAGAATGATAAACTCGTCAACCGAGCTCATACATCGCAAACGAATCTGCGCCCCAACACACACCCCAGTACACCACTTCAGCACCCCCTACTGTTTTAAATTGTCGGCGCCATATTCGGAAGGCGTCATGTAGCGTTCTTGACGCTCGGGGCTTGTCATGTGCCTAGTAGGCTTGACGCACAGGAAGCGGACATGGCCGAGAGAAGAGCTAGCGCCAACAGACGGCCACGGGGGCGTCCGAGTCTTCATTGGCATGGATGGCATGACATACGAAGATTCCATGTCATCCATGAGTTCGAGTCCAGTCAGACTGGAGAGTATATTCCTGAATGTCCACCCAGAGCCCAGTGGCCTTTATCCCGTGGCCGAGCCATCCAGTCCGGCCTCACCAGACCTCACAGACTCGGGACGCCGCCCATCACAATCACAGATCATGAGGCTCCTTCACCTACTACTGCCATCGCTGCTCTGTGTCAGCCTAACAAAGGCCTACCTGGTCGCCCCGCCAGGGACACCCGCCCCAGGAGCAACTCAGCGGTGCAGCGGCTGGGTCCAGTCGTCGTACGCGCTGTCTTGCGACATCATCGTGAGAGTGATTGGCATGACTCTGCCGCAATTTCAGGAGTGGGTGAGTACTGCACCAGAAGCCACGCAAATCCTCTTTGACTTGGTTGCGACAAGACTAACGTGAAGCAAATAGAACCCAGCCACCAGCATGATGGGCCCCGGGTGCAACATGATCAACGGGCTCGACTACTGCATCGAGGTTGACTTCATTCAGTACACTGCCACCATGACCACGGCGCAATCCACGACCAGCTCGCCCGGCACGACCACAAAGGCCAGCACCACCAGCACCACCACATCCGGCAACGGCATTGCCACGCCCACGCCCATCCAGGCCGGCATGGTAGCAAATTGCAACCGCTTCTACTTTGTAAAGGACGGCGATATCTGCGTTAACATCGCTGCCTCCCAAAGCGTCTCCCTCACCAACCTGTACGCCTGGAACCCGGCCATCGGTACTTCTTGCGGGGGCCTGTGGGCGAATGTCTACATCTGCGTGGGCACTGGGACGGCGGCGCCGACGACCACGGCGCCAGGCAACGGCGTGGCGACGCCCACACCAATCCAGGCAGGGATGACGACCAGGTGCAAGACTTTCCATCAAGTTGTTGCAGGCGAAGTGTGCTTTGGTGTCGCAAGACCAGCGGGCATCTCCATCGCAAACTTCTTCGCGTGGAACCCCGCCGTGGGCACCGACTGCGGGGCACTATTGCCGGGATACTATGTTTGTGTTGCTCTGCTGTAGCGGGTACCATGCTCGTACCTTACCTACCTTAGGAACCCTAGTTAGTAGGTGATTCTGAACAGGTTAGGAAGTACAACCTCACAGCGGTACCTAATTTCAAACTTGAACCTCATCACTCATGCTCCATAATAACCGCCCGAATGGTGAACTGCGGTCCTCTATAGTTAAACCTGGGCGACGTCTCTGGGCGTCGTTGCTTCCCATCCGTATGTCCATGGCGCTAGGTCGGGGACGACCCGGACATGACATGAGGTGTGTTCCGGAGCAGGGTATAGAACCTTGCCCATCACCGAGCTGCATCGGCCCACATAGTTGCAGGGATATGTTCAGGGGTATCTTTTTGAACCAAGGGCCCGGCCCTTGTCAGTTCAACAACCGACTTGCACCCCTGAAGCTCGGGATCGCACGTCCAATCCAAGTCGTACGTTGGTTCTTGTTAACCCTCGACGCAAGTCTAGAATCTTTTATGTGGACGGCGCCTTGGTGGGTTCCGGTTGAAACAAAGGTGCACCTCCGGCTCAACTCCCAACCGATAACACCACCAACACCACCACCACCCTTGCCTCACCGCAAATCGAGGACCCTTCCAGTACCGTCCCCTACCCGCCCCGGCCTCCAGCAGCCTCCTCCAGCCCAGCCGTTACCCGGAGATACACGCTCCGCGGCACCGTGGGACAAAAGTGTGCTGGTCCGGGCCACTCCGAATGGGGAAGCCCGATATCCGCACCACCTTCCAGCAGCGCGTCGACCACGTCCCGGTGTTCGAGCTGCATCGCCAACTGCACGACCCGCCCACACACGAAGCCAAAGTTCCACAAGCCCCTGTGCTCCGCCGCCTTCTGCCAGGAAGCGTGCCACTCCGGCGCTAGCCAGGTCATTGAGTGATACGCAGTGTTAGGGTCCGCGCCGTGGCTCAGCAGCAAGCGAACCATGGCCGCGTCGCCGTGTCTCGCTGCGCGGACGACGGGGGGGAGAACAAAGTCCCAACTCGGGCCCCATGGGGAGTCCTCATAGCCGCAGAGGTACAAATCGTAGTGGGATGTCCGCGGGGGCGGCAGGGGACGGTCTGTGGTGTCGAAGTCGCAGGGGACGCCGCGGGAAAGAAGGCATGTGACTGTGGGTATGTCCCTTTGCTCGACGGCCAGGCAGAGCGTTCTTAGCGCGAGAATGCGACTCGTTTTGGGGGCAAGAATGTCCACGAGCTGCGTCCTCCGCTCTCTGGCTGCCCGGGTGAGCGCAGGGCCGTACCTCTCGTCGAAGGTACGATTAGGATCCGCACCCCGGTCGAGGAGGAGGAGGACCAGGTCCGCACGACCAAGCTCCACTGCCCATTCAAGCGCTGTGATCGGGACCTCGCACAACAATGTCGTGGGCGCAATCGTTTCGATGGGTGTAATGTTGACGAGAAGGATGGGAGACATGAGTATGGTTGCTAGTACGTCACTGGCGCAGCCGTCGAGAATATGGGCAACTTTCTCCGTGCTTTGCTTCGTCTGTAACGCCGCCTTGAGCCGTGCCATGATTGCCTCAGGCTCGCCGCCCTCACATTCAGGGTCTGCCTGAAGAGCGTTCGCAGCAGCCTGATCTGGGCTCAGATGCACCCGCTCGGAGAGAGCCGGGTTGAAGATATCAGACGAGCTTCGCAGACGTCCTATAGTCTGTTCGGGTTTGCGGCCGTTGGCCAGTTGACCATATGGGTACTCCTCGTACACATGGCCCCCGGACTCGCGAAACTTTCGAGGCGGTTGGTTAGTGCCCTTGAAAGGTGAGTTTTTCAGGATGTTCTTGGCATCGTGTGGTTGAAAAGGGCTTAGTTCAGAACAGTCAGCGCTGGGATGTTGCCAATCGAGACCCACGAAGAAGTCGTGTTTCTTGATCTCTGATACACCATGTACTCCTCCCAAGCGCTGGGTTGGGTTTTTGTTCAGCAGGCGTCGTAAAATATCTGCTGTGACGCCCTGGACGTATGTGGGCACGTCCAACTCCTCCATGAGGATCTTGCGATCTCTCTCTACCGGATCTTGGTGATAGAAAGGGGGCAAACCGGTCAGAATCTCGTGAAGGAAGCTCCCCAAGATCCACCAGTCCGTTAGTTGAGACGGTCCATCACCACTCAGAATCTCGGGAGCGGTATATGCCATTTGGCCGAGGCAGCAACTATGGTCGGTCGTGAACAGCCTCGGGGTGATGATACGGATGTTACCAAACACATCCAAGAGGATATTCTCGGAGCTGAGCAAGCCGATTATATTCAAGTCGTGCAGGCTTTCCAGTACACATACAAGCTGTGCAGCGTATAGCTGAGCCTTATTGTCGGTCACCCGGCGGCACCTCTGGACGCGGCCAAGGAGATGGCAGCAGCTCGAGATCGGGCTCAAGAGATGGAGGTGACCGGGGGATTTGTACACGAATCGGACGGGTAGAATCCAAGGGCTGTCAAGAGAGAACTTAGCCGATCCCTGCCGGTAGTCTTCTGCAGATATGGTCGTCATGAGGTAGAAAGTGTCAGTGTCCTTCGCTTCGACAAGCTCAAGACCACCAAGATCACGACGTGGCTCTGTAAGCCATTTATTCTGCTCCATATCTTCCATCATGCCAGGAAGATGGGCTCGTGAGAATGTGACGGTCATGTCGATCTCGGCGCCCTTGAAGGGACAGGACTCCATTGTCATTGTGCAAGACTCCACAAATGGCCCTAAGCTGATCGAGCCAAGATTCATGACCGCATCGCCCCCCCCTGGCGACTGGTTCGAGTCTAAGTGGCGCTCAAAAAGCAGGTGCAAGATGGCCTCGCAGGGTTGCGCCATGAGAGATAGGTCGGACCGAATAGTTGTTGCGTGTCCGCCCCATCCCGAGCCCGCGCCAGACCCTAATATCGGCCAATTTCTGAGGTCAAACTCTGTGAGCGAACCGTCGTGTTCCAATATCGCTCGAGGCTTCCATTGCCCCTGAACATTTGACCCAAGCTTCCAGAGGTTGAGGCATAAAATGCCATATTCGACTTGATCGGCGGATACGGTCAGGGGTAGGAGATGATCATTAGCATCGGCTGCAGGCGCGGATGTCCGGTTATCTGGCCATTGACAGGGGACGGGCGCGTCGCGCAACTTTTGTTCTTGTCTCCTGCGGGCTGCTTCATGATCGAATCCAGCGAATAAGTCAGTAAGCCCTGAAATGTTCCATCAGTACTTTCGCATGGCTTTCAGGGTGTTGCCGGTGGGCAACAACACTCACTCACCTTCAAGTATCGATGGTTCCGAGACTACAGACATGGTGAGCGAATGCTTCGAGTTTGACCTTGTGACGATCTTAAGTTTCCACTCTGGTTGACAATTCAGAGTTGGTATGTCAGGTGGGAATCAGGGAGAGGGGAAGTTTAGTGACGCGACAGATTGCGGGGTTTATAAAGCGAGGAGGTGACATGAGAGATGACATAATCTGCTCTTCAGAATATCACTTTATCATGACCGTCATCCTTCATCACTCCATCATAAATGCCATGTATTGATGTGAGGGTGTAGATGGCGACCAGGTGGACATGGCGATCTAGACCTGACGGCGATTTAGCTGAGATGGCAGCCAGCAGACCAGGAGATCTGGGGGGCTTAAGCGACATGACTGGCTTGATTTGCTTCCGCCAAAGCTGAAATGGAAGATCACATAGGCTATGGCGCAAAACTCGACTGTGAAAATATAGTGGTCGCCAAAGGTGAATTGTATTTTAGCTAACGGGGTCGCGGAGTACAGGAAAACCTCGCTGGGACCTTTTGACATCCAAGGAAAGCGCAGTCCGCGGCAGCCTGCTTCTTGCAGAAAGCATCGCATTCCCCAGTAGGACCGCTGTCCGGACTGTTCTTGCACAGATCATGCCCTGGGTCAAGGCATCTAGACCGCTGTTCGGCGACACAACTGGTCTAGCAGCCCCAGGTACGACACTCATGCTCGGCCTGGGACTTGCACCATTTGTCGCAAGAAAAGGGAGGGCCACCATTACTTGGCTCCTGACAAACCGCCAGGCGGCTTGCCATGCAGACAGACCGCCTGTTGCCGACGCAATGGTTGGCCTCTTTGTACTGGCAGCATCCCACCATTCCGCACTCCCGCTGGGCTTGGGCTTTGCAGAACTCGGAGCACTTCGTGGCGGTATCCTCTTTGCAATATTGGACGCCGCTGTTGATACAGAGGGTTTGCCTGTTGGCGATACAGTCGTAGGGCAGTTTAAACGGACAGACGCCGGGGAAGTTGAATGCGTTGCTCTGACGTATCTCCAGCCCGGCGTTATCGGGCTCGGGGCCGCCAAAACGGAAGCGGCCATGATGCCGGTGGTGAGCTGTGGTCTGATAAGTGTGTGCAAAGCGAGAGGTATCACCCGATGATAGCTTACATAGTTGAGCAGATACATGATCCCAAGCGGAGCGAAGCGGAGCGAGGGATTGACTGAAAGGAAAGAGTAAGTGGAGTCGCTCCGATTGGAATTTAAGTGATAAATTTTAAGTCCTACTTTTAATTCCTGAGTCTATCGTTTATTAGTTTTTTTAGTATAAACGTATTTTAATTAGTCGATACGAAAAGTACTTCTTTACTACCCGATTTAATTAGTAGATAATATAGCGCTAATAGTAGGTAGCTATATTAGCTTCTCTAAAAAATAGCTCTTTAGGTAGTTATATAGGGCTTAAGAGGAAGTAGCGCTATAGGCTTAGCGCTATAGGTAGGGGGGGTCTAGGGGGTCTCCCCCTAGGAAAAAAGAACGATATATTATACTATAAGAATCGTAGAATATTATAATAGTTATCTACTATTTACTTTATCTAGGTCTTATAATAGCTTTATAAAGCTACTTAGAAGTTTAGACTACTATACGTATAGCTACCTAGGAATTCTAACTATAAAGTAATTATTATATAATTACTTTATTAATACTAGACTATTATATATATAGCTATTTAGGAATTCTAATTATAAAGTAACTATTATATAATTACTTTATTAATATTATAAAGCCGACTTAGTAATTATTTTATAATAATAGCTATTAAATTAAATAGCTTAGTTATATATTTCCTATTTACCTAAGACTAGCTAATTAATAATAATTATTTAGTAAACGTAATAAATTAGAAAGACGTAGTAAATTAGAAAGAATTTACTCGTCTTACTTACCCTACTTATAATTACTTCCTAAAGCTTCTACGACCTATCGACTTATAGGCTTTTTAATATTACCTTTATAATTATTAATCTCTCTATTAATTAACCTCTCTATTAATTAACCTCTCTATTAATTAACCTCTCTATTAACTATACTTACTAATACTATTAAGTAATTATTACGATAGCTTTAGCTATCGTAGATCCTCTTAGCGATAGCCCTCCTAGCGATAGTCCTCCTCGCCCTAACCTACCTCTTAATAAGCTTAATTAGCTTAATAAGCTTTATATTACCTATAATCGTTATTAAGTCTCTAAGCCTTATAGCGAATTTAAAAACCTTTAAAAGCCTAATACTATTATATAGAGCTACTTCGAGTATTATAGTAGATAGTCGGCCTTTATAAGTATCCCTATTATTATAAAGAAGCTAATACTAACTTACTATATAGTATTAGCGTAATAGTTATATTATCGACCTCCTTCGTAATATATTATCTAATATTATAAGCTCTAAGAGGAATATAAACGTTACTAGCTTCTTAGTTCCTCTATATCGACGAGGCTCGTAGCTTAATATACTCTAGCCTCTTCGAGCTATTACCTTTACTCCTATCCCTTTATCGAATATTTAGCGTTTATACTAATTTACTCGATAATTATCTATATTCTTCTATTATAGCTAGAGCTCTTAAAACCCCCCTAAGATTACTAAAGCCTATTATAAGCTTACTTTTATTAAGTATCGTTATCGTATTATATATTATATAGCCTTTTATAGTTAAGTATTAGTAACCCTAGATCTTAAGGATATTATAGCGAGGATCGTTAATACTTCGAGTATTATTAGAAGTTCTATTATAAATATTATTATTACTTCTATTACTTCGGTTTTTACTTTTACTTCTATTATTAAGAGCGGATCTACTCTTCCCCTTAGTAGTAGCGACGATAGCGATAATAATTACTTCTATTACGATTATTATAACCTATTACGTAGTATTTAGTATCGTATTATTAGCTATATCGATATCTATAATTATTATCGAGATAGTATTATAGGTTAAAACCTCGAATATAAGTAGAAGTAATATATTAATAGATATTATAAGATTTACTATATTAAGTTTATAGCTTTCCCTATTAATAATAAAGAGTATATTAATTATTAGCTTTATAAGGATAATTCTCTTCCCTTTATTAATAAAAATACTTTTAACGATTTCTAAGCTAATAGCTTAGTTAATAGTAATAGCGTTTATAATATATCTTCGAGCTACCCTTTTATAGTATTTTAGTATTCTTAGGCTACTTAGTAATATAGATCTTAGCTTAATTTATATTATAGCTTATAGAGCTTTATTAATATTAATTAATGCTCTATTCTATAAGACCTTAATATCCTTAACCCCTAATTCGATAATAATCTTATTATAAAGTTATTTACTATTATAAATAAGCTCTTTATCGAGCGTTTCTATTATTACTTAAATAATAATAAAATAAAGACTTACTTTTAATATTAATAACGTTAATTTAGAATAAACTTAAACTATAAAGTTTATATTATTTATAATTATAAAGATAGTAATAATAAGCCTATTTACTATTATTCTATTAAGAATTATTTAGACTTCGGAAACGTACTTAAGGAGCTTCTAAAGCTAAATCCGATCGAAAAGATACTTATTACTTATATTTATAGTTATATAGAGATCTATTAAGTCCGTAGTATTTAATTTTAATATAAGGGTTATATTATAAGCTTTTTATATAATATTATAAAAGTTTATAATTAACTCCCCTTACTCTTTATTAACTTAGAGATCGTTATTCTTTACTTAGTTAATATTAATACTAATCCTAGCCTATAACGTTAATTCCGTTAAGACTTCCGTATTCGTAAATCTACTATTATTACTTAGTTAGACTTTCTCGTTACGAACTACCCTATTTATTATAATATTAATATTTAGTATATTAATATTAACTTTCTCCTCGATAATAATATCGTTATAAACTAACTACTTATTTAGGAGGTCGAGGATATTATAGATAATTTTAATCTAGATAACCCTAACTTTAATTATAACGACGTTAATATAGTAATAGTTCCGAACTTTATAGCGAATATTAACGATTTATAATACTTATATAAAGAGATCTAACCCTAATAGTAGCTTTAGTAATAATAGTATATCGAGATACCTATACTATACTCGATACTTATTAGTAACCTTAATTATAATTAGCCTTTATTATCTTTTATATTCTTAATACTCTATCCTCGAGGCGAAGCCGATTTCGTTTATCCCTGTAAACGTAATATTAACTTTATAGTATATATCTAATATATAATAAAGTAATATAATAGTTAGTTCGTATACTACCCTCGCTTCCGCTTCTTAGTAATTAATACCTTAATATATATATAGGTTAATAAGTATAGCGCCTTTTTTACTCGTTATAGCGATTATAGTAACTTTAGCGCTAATAAGATTAAAATAGCTTTTAAAACTAATAGCTTTAAATCTCGATAGATCCTAAACTCGATTATTCGCTATATAGATATTCTATATAGTATTAGGCTATTCTAGAATAGTAAACGATATAACCTTAAGTCTATTATATATACCTTTAATACTCTAGCTATATTACTTATATTTAACGTTATTAATTATTATTAATATTATCTCTATAAAGTATATTAATATTTATTTATCTTCTAATTATTATATAAATTATTATATACTTAGTAATTACTCCTTTAATTATCCTTTAATTACTAAGTATATATTTAATAGTTACTTTTAAACTATACTTTCTAGGTATTTACTTAGTAATTACTTAATAATTACTTTTTAACTATCCCCTAATTACTAAGTATTTACTTAGTAATTACTTAGTAGTTACCCCTTAATTATCCCTTAATTATTAGGTATTTACCTAGTAGTTACCTTAGAACTATACCCTCTAGGTAATTACTTAGTAATTACTTAGTAGTTACCCCTTAACTATCTTTAAGTTAAGTATTCTAATATTAAAATAGTACCTCCTAGGCTATTTAGACGACCTTCTTAAGGGTTAGCGTATTTCCCTAGCTCGCTATAATATATACGATAACCCCTATATCGTCGCCTAGTACTTCTATCGTTACTTTAAGTTATTTAGGGATATTATTCTAATTACTAAGTTTAACCTCGTCGATTATTAAGATTAATATAAATAGTAAGGCTATAATAGTACTTACTATTATAGTCTATATTAGATAGATAGAACCCCTAATATTAATATAGCTTCCGATAAATCCTATTACCTCTTTACTTAGTTCTAGGGTATTTACGTTATTATTATTAACCCCGAGCTTAATAGGGTCTTTAATATCTAAGCTAAGTTAAACCCTCTATTTATTACTTCTAATCCTATCTCTAGCGCTATCTTTACTAACTTTACTTTACTATTAAATATTATTAATCGTATATAATAATATAAATATAATTAAATATACTATTAGCGTAAGAATACTTATATAAGTATTATAGAATATCGCTTTTACTTCCCCTATATATCTTATAATACCTTTACTATATTAAAAGAGCTAAATCCTAATTACTAGATCTTCGCTAATAAGCGGAATAACCCTTTATTTAATTAATTTAACTTTACGATCTCTATTAAATAGTATATAAATACGGATATATCCCCCTATATTAATATATATACTATTATTAACTATATCGCTAAGTATTATAATAAAGCTAAGACTAAGACGCTTACGTATAAAGAACTTACTATAATGCTCGACTAGGCCGTTACTAGGAAGCTCTAAGTAGAAGCCCTATACGTAATTAAACGTAGAGTACGGACTAAAGGGATTACTTATATAACCGTAACTAGATTACGATACTTAAAGTAATCCTATTACTAACCTAACTATAATCTACGATAATAGGATTACGATAATACCTATAAGCTATCTAATATAGACTTATTATTTAACTAACTTAGGATAAGGAAATAGGTATAAAAGGATAGATATTTTTATATTTATAGATATATTCTTTCTCCCGATAATAATTAATCTAAGTCTTACTTTATATTTATTATAATAAGTACGTAACGCTTTATAATATTATATCGTCTTAGAGTTATAACCTAAGCTTCTATTAATAGTAACCTTAACCCTCTTTAATAGTATTCCCTTTTAGAAGCTATTAGGTCGTAATATTTTAATTATTCTTATTTAGTAAGTTTACTTTATAATATTAAGTAATACTTACTATAAGAATAATATCTATTAATAGCGTTAATAATAGCGTTAATAATTAAACTATTATAATCTAGGAGCTTAAAGCCGAGAATAAGTAATTTAGGACCTTAGTATAATAGCTTTAAAGCGGAGGAATAAGTATAAAGGCTCTCCCCCCTTAATCCTTTAACGGGAACCTTCGAGTACTTTAGTCTTATATTACTTAGGTATAATAGTACTATAAAGCTAATAAAGGTAATCTTAAATATTAAGGAGAGAAAGTCGTTAACGTATCCTCTTACTTTAAAAGGGATACGTTATACTAATTCGAACCCTTTATTAGAGATTACGCTATTTATATTAAAAAAGAGGATATAAAGTAAGCTATTTAGGATATTTATATTAGAATAAACGCTTTCGAGGAAGCTATTAAAGGCGTTTTCGGAGACGTAGACGAAGAACGTTAGAATAAATAAAAGATCCTCTTATTTAGATAAATTAAGCCTATTACTAAGTACGCTATAGAATTTCGACTCTTAGCTATTAAACTTAATTAAACCGAGTTTACTTTTATAGCCCGCTTCTATAAAGGATTTAAGGATATCGTTAAAGACGATTTTATTAAAGAAGATAGACTAAATACTTTAATAGAATATATTACTATAGTTATTAAAATTAATAATTAATAGTATAAATAATATATTAAAAAGGGATATAAACCTATTATAGGGCTTTAGAATCCTTAGGTCCTTTATTACTATTCTAATTAAAGATATAAATATTAATATAAAAAACCCTATATTAATATAGTTTAGGGATAGATTACTTATTTAGGATTTATAGAATTAGATAATATTTACTATAGTAAAGCCCTATCTATTAAAAATATTAAATACTATAATTATAGAAAGAACGGATATATAGCCTATAAATACTAATAGCTTAAGAAACTATAGAAGCTTATTAATAAACGATAATTTAATTATATTTAATATTAGGATTACGTTAGTATTAATTAGACTTTCTATTATTAAGATAATTACTTAATTTATAAAGATAGTAAAGAATAGAATAAATAGTTCCTTTAGGTATTTATAGGAAAGAGAACCTTAATTATAATAATTACTATTAAAAAGGAAAAACGAATTTAGAAATAGGCTTAGTTAGTAATATTAGAAACCTAAGAAATCGATATAGATAAAGAAAAAGCTTATAAATAAGCTTATCCGGAACCCTAGTCCGTACTCTATATTAGACTTATAAGCGATTAAGAATAGGACGTATATATATAAATAAACTAAGAAGAAGAGCCCTTTCTAGGATAACTTTAGCTCTATATCCCTATATAAGAGTATATTATTAATAACCCTAATAAATTCTACGACCCTTTTATACTTTAGGACGAATTAATCTATTATAGAACTTAATTATAGAAATACTATAAAATAGAGAGTATTAAGGAAACTATAAGATTAATAATAGGAGACTATCCTATATTCTATTATATTTATATAGAGTACTCTATATTATTCTAGCTTAAATATATATACGATAATTACGAATATTACTTTTAGGAGAAGAATATATACCGTTTTATACTCTATAATTATTAATATAAACCTCGTATAAAGGTAGAATTTTAGAGGCTAGACTATAAATAGATCCTATATATAGATAAATAAAGCTATAGACGATTTATATTTAAGCTAGACTTTACTTATTATAATAAGTACTATCCTATAGATATATAATAGGAAGATTATAATAATAATATATACTTAGCTTATTATATAATTAAAGCTAGAGATTAGAGGCTTTACTATATAAAGTACGTTAAGAAACCCTTTTTCCGAGTATATTATAAGGACGATAAAATCCTCGACCTAAATAGCCTAGATACGATATAACTATCTACGATATTACTACTTTCGGGAAAAGGTAAGCGTTAATCGTATAGGGATAACGATTAATAAAGGAAATAAGAGTAATCTACTCCGCTAAATAAACTTATAATACGAACTACCTTTATATAAGAATAAATATAAAAGGGAAATAAGTAAGTACGCTATTAGATAGTAGAGCCTAAAGTAATTATATAAGCCCTAAATATATTAATAAGAACTATATTAATTAGAGATATAAGGAGGAATTTTATTAGCTTAGTATAATAGAAGGATAAGCGGTCTTATATAGAGGAGGAATCGTAAATATAGAAATTATACCCCTTTAAGTATTTATTTCTTATTAGCCTAGCTATATAACCTTCGATATTATTAATATAGGAGGAAAATAAATTATCCTAAGTATTTTATAGTTTAGAAAATAGAACCTTTAAATTAATTAGATAGTTAATTACGTTTAGTAGAGTATATTAGCCCCTAAGGAACGACCTAAAGACGGTCTCTTAAGCGATTTCTAATTAGCTTTTATAATTAAAGATAATTTAGAGGAGGTAATCCTAGAGGAGCTTATAGAAGAATAATAAAATAGATTATAGAATATATTTAAAGAATATTAATAATACGAGAAAGTCTTTAAGGAAGAAATCGATATAATACTATTAAAGTATATATATTATAATTATAAGATCCTAATTAAAGAAGGAGAAAGCCTATAATTTAATAAAATCTATAGATTAAACCTATAATAAATAAATATACTCGATAAATATCTTAAAGAGAATTTTAGGAAAGGATATATCCGATTATTAACCTCTTTAATAAGATATTTAATCTTATTTATATTAAAGAAGAATAGTAAAGAAAGATTATATATCGATTATTAATAATTAAACGATATTACTATTAAAAACTATTATTTATTACTTTTAATATTAGAATTTCGGGATATATTAATAAAAGCTAATTAATTTATAGTATTTAACTTTAAAGGAGCCTATAATTTAATATATATAAAGGACGGAGAAGAATAGAAGATAGCTTTCTAAATATAAAAGGGATACTATAAATACTTAATTATACCTTTTAAGTTAATTAATACTTTTATAACTTTCTAAAATATAATTAACGATATATTATAAGAGTTTCTTAATATCTTCGTAATAGTATATTTTAATAATATCCTAATCTTTTTAAAGACTAAGGAAGAATACGAGAAATATATTTATTAAATCCTTTAACGATTATATAAATATAAATTACTAATAGAACCTAAGAAAGCTAAATTCTATATATAATAAGTAAACTTCCTAGGATATATAATTATATTAAGAGAAATCCGAATAGAAAAATCTAAAATAATAGCTATTAGAGAATAGTTTATACTAAAGAACATTAAAAACGTTAGAGTATTCCTTAATTTTATTAACTTCTATTAACGATTCTTAAAAAAATATAATAAAATCGCTAACCTTTTAATAAACCTTATAATTAAAAATATTAAGTTTATATAGAATAATCCCTAAGAAAAAGTATTCTAATAGATTATCGATAACGTATTTAGCGAGCTTATATTTAAGATAATCGACCTTAGAAAATTAATAAAAGTTAAGACGGATACCTCTAATTTCGCTATCGGAGGATAGCTCGGTTAATAGGACGAATAAGGATAATTATACTTAATAGTATTCTTTTCGAAAAAACTATATAGACTAGAACTTAATTATTAGATATATAATAAGGAATTTATAGTAATTATCGAAGTATTTAAGGAATAGAAAATATATTTCTCTAAAGTACAATATAAAGTTAAGGTTTATATAGATTATAAAAACCTTATTTACTTTATAATAAATAAAGACTTTAATAAGCGATAGATTAGATAAATAGAATTCCTTTTAGAATTTAATTTTACTATTATCTATTATAGAGGATTAGAAAATAATAAAGTAAATATTCTAAATAGATACTTAGATTACGAATAAATTACGCCCCTAAATAATAATACTATCTTTATAAATAATAAAGACGGAAATCTAATCTTATATTATTATACTTTAACTATTATAATACGAGTAATACTTAATAAACTACTAATAAGTATTATAGAATTTATTAAATAAATCTATAAAGCTAAAGCTTATAGATATTAAGGAGTAACGAAAACTTTTACGTAATTTAAGAAATATTACGATTTTAAAGGAATTAAGTAAGATATTATAATAATAATTCGTAATTATAACCTCTATAAGAAAAGTAAAGTAAAAAGGTATAGACTTTATAGAGAACTTAAAGTACTATTAATATTAACGGTAGCCTAGGAGTTAGTCTTATTAGATTTTATTATTAGCTTATTACTATTAAAGGAACCCTTAATTAGGACCTTTTATAATAATATCTTAATAATTATCGACCGATTTACTAAATACTTTTACTTTCTTCTATATAAAGTAATAGGGATTATAGAAAACCTCGTTTACGTATTCTTTAGGAATATTATTAGATAATATAGATTATTAAAAGAATTAATATCGGATAGAGATTAACTCTTTATTAGTAATTTCTAGAAGTTACTTATTATATAATTAAGAGCTAAATATAAACTATCTATAATATTCTATCTATAGATAGATAAATAAATAGAGAGAACGAATTAGATATTAGAATAATACTTCTAATACTATATTAATTATTAATAAGACGATTAAGTTACGCTATTACCTATAATATAATTTATATATAATAGCTTATTAAGCGAATTAATTAAGGAATTACTATTTTACGCTAATTATAGATTTAACTTAATAATTTACGTAAAACGCTATAAAGTACTAGATACCCTAAAAGCTATAAATATCGTAATTAATATCTACGAAATCT